TAATATAGTAAGTATAGTTACGTGCTAAGCCTAAAATAGCGTTGCTATACTTACACTTTAATAGTAACAAGTAGGTAACGTTAAAAGGCTATAATAAGTAAAATAAGTGCGTAAGTATATAAAGAAGTATAATATTCTTCTCCTTATAAAGATCTTAGAAATTAATAAAGTAGTAGCTTTTATAGCTATTAATAATAAGTAGTTAATACTCACCTATAGTAGAGCTTTTTATGTAAGTATTAAAGTGCTCTAACTAGGTAAGACTAAGCTAATTATTTATCTAGCTATTAGAACTAACTTTAAGAACTTAGTTAGTAGATAAGTCTTTAAACTAAATATTAATAAGCACCTTACTTATAAAGATAATAAAAAGTAGTATTTAGCGACCTAACACGCCTACGCCTTAGATTATAGTAACCTACTTATAGTTACTTAGCCATAACTAATTTTTTTTCCTATATTCTTCTAATACTATAATTAATAACTATAATAAAATATTACTTATTATGAAGCTAGTTTTGTTAAAGTTATAGATATTATTGTTTATAATACCCTACTTCTACCTTATTACCTAGACTAAGTTAAACTAGCGCTAGATAGCTACTAAGTCTTTATAGGCGGCTTGCTAGTAATTATAAAGATAGCTCTAGCGCGTATAGAGCCTAGTAGTCTACGTAATAAAGTTATTAACTTAATTCTTACTAATAAGGTTGCTACTACGCTTTTCTAATAGTTGATTAGCTATTACTTAAACCTTAGCCTTTATAAAAGTAAATCTACGCCTAAACTCTTTAAAAATACGTTTAATAATAGCCTCCTCTTCTAACTTATTTAGGCGCTTTAAATTTAGTTTATAGTTACGTTAGAAGCGCTTTCTAGGCAATTAATTAGATATTATACTTTGAGGCATGCTATAAATAAAAGTAGCGCGTCTTTAGCTTTAAACATATTGTAATTAGATTTTAAAAAAAAGCAAGTTAAAGATATAATTTAAGATAAGTTAATTGATAGTTATATGATTAAGATATGATGCGTTGTAGTATTAACGTTAACGCGCTAGTAGGGAGTGACTAACTCGCTTAGGTGACTAACTTGCTTATGAAACACGTTAACGTGTTTCACTAGTAAGCAGGCCACCCTAGTATGTGGGCCACTTCCCTATAATATCCCACCTTTATAATAATAACGCGTAATATCTTAACAATATAACGCATTAAAAACTTATACTAAAGTAGATCTATCTTTTGCTATTACTAATCTTAATTCTAAATAAATTTAGAGTAGATAACGCGCTACTACTGCCTATAGCGTCCTATAAATAATAATCTAGCGTTAATAAGCTAGATAGCGCCCTTAAAGCGATTAGAAGCTACTAGTAAGGCGCCTAATAAAACTAGAAGAGGAGGCTATTACTATACGTGTAATAGTTAAGGCTAAGTGAGGACTACCCTATAGAAAAGACAACATGCGAGATATAGCTAACAGACTGCTCTAAGAGCGTGGCGAGAAGGAGGTGGGCAAGAACTAGGTTAATAGGTTTATCTAGCGTAATCCTAAGCTGCGTACGCGCTAAAGCTATCTATATAATTACTAGCAAGCTCTCTACAAAGACCTAGCGCTTATTAAGAGCTAGTTTAAGCTAGTTTAGAATATAAAGGCAAAGTATAGTATTATAGATAAAGATATCTATAAATTCAATAAGACTAGCTTTATTATAGGTAAGATTTTATTTTAGTTAGTTATTATAGGCTTAGACAAACTAGAGAGAATAAAGAAGATCTAGCTAAGTAATTATAAGTAGGTTCTGTAACGGGCTAGGTAGCCCGCTACAGTACAGATAGCGGTGGCTATCTTATGTATCAACTACGCAACGATATCAGCAGCTCTAATATCTTGTGCCAGCCTTTTTGGCGCAGTGGGCGCGTTGTAGTTGCGTGCGCAGTCTAATAGGACTCGACCCGTTACAGGTTACGCTAATATAAGGCGTTAGCGCAATAAGCACACGTATTCTAGCGTTTCTTATCTTTGCTAGCAAGGTTCTAATCTCTACCTAGTTTATAGAGAATCTACTACGCGACTAGGTAATCTAAGTTAGTCCTACTAGCTAGACAAACAATAATCTAGCGCTTAACTAGCTTTATTACTTTAATTTCTATGCGCGGCCTATAAGGACGTATAGGCTACTTATTATTAATAGCTAGAAGAGCTACTGCTTAGTGAATTTCTAAGATCTCTACAAAGAGATAAAGATAATCCTCCTCTATATGCCTCCCCACTTGTCGCACCTCTTATACCCTCTTAATATAGGCTACTTCTTACTATTAAAGCGCGCGTATAGTAATACTATCTTAGTCTTAGCACGTAATTATATCTACTATATTAGTTAAGAAACCTTTCTACTAGCGTTTAAAAAGGCCTATTATAAGGCTATTACACTAGAAAATATCTATAGAGGGTTCTAAGGTGCTAGACTTTTACTATATAATTATAACGTTATTTTATTATAGCTTAACGTTATACTACGTACGCTAACTCTACTAGCGTAAAAGACTACTACTTAGAAGCTAAAAACGCCACGTAACGCGCGCGAAATAGAGGCGTAGGCTACGCTTATTTAAAACTATATATAAATCTAGCAAGGGTCTCCTATAAGTTCTCTTAAGAAGTAGATATAGTAGTTAAGTAAGAGAGCTTAGTAGATAGCTTATAATATAGTGTTAATACAAGAGAAACTTAATCGCCTTAAAGCTACAATTACTAAAGTAATAAAGTAAAAAACTTATAAAAGGCGCTACGTATAGGTAGAGGGGTCCTAGATAGTTAGCTAGATAGCTAATTAGATTACTAAGATAGAGGGTGGTAGCTATAATAATAGTGTAACGTCTGCAAAGAGGGTGCGTAGTAAACAGCGCTGCAGGCGTTATAGCTAAATTAGACATAACTCTTGCACTTATTAAGTAGAATTAAAGGATATAGAGGATAGTAATACATCTAAAGAATAATATCTTATTCTACTTAATAAAAAATATTATAGTAGTGTTGCGCAATACTATTACAAAGATATAATAGTTTAGGGAGGTGGCCTACATACTAGAGTGGCCCGCTTACTAGTAAAACACGTTATATGTTTTACGCGAATAAAAGTTAGGTATTACATGGAAATGTATTAACATATTTTAATAAGCTCCCATCACCCTACCAGGTTTACAAATAGGTAGAACAGAACAGTATGCAATTAATTCTTCGGCTCTGAACGACCGGAGCTTTCTTGGAAATCATAGGATCGTGCTTGGTGTATGCAGTTGAACGAGACGTGTGCAGTGCAGTGCTGGACATGGATATGACTTGTTGCTTAATGGTCCTTTGAATAACTACTGGGCTGTGCTTGAAGCATTTGGTTGACAAGCCTAGCGTGGACAAAGCTTTAGCCTTGGTTTCAATCATGTGCTATACGAATATTGGGTAGACAGATTAGTCTGAGTCGACAGCAAAGTACTGTTAAGTCAGTAAACGGCGCTTGCATTTCAGCATTTGACATGTGCAATCTTGTTTAGTATTCCTTAAATTCAATTACCCAGCTGAGTTCCTAGAGTGCAAACAATCACCATGAGAAGGAAAATATCTATGTAACGTTTTGGGGATTATCGTTCTTTCGACACTATCTGGGGCTATATCTCTACAAATACATTGTTAGCATTCTGCAACATCAATTTTAGCAACTTCATTGCCACTCTAAGCTCCTGGATTCTTGCATATATACTCAAAAACGTATAATATGGTCTACGCTGTCCTTTTCACAGCATATCAAGACAAATGCAAAGATCCATGTATCTTATCCACAATCACCATTTACCCAACGTAAATATCAAGTATCTTCTACAACATCCCACACAGTCACAGCTGCATGATAGCCTATTTATCGCGTCCAAGGTACCTCACCGCCATCTCCTCCTATGTACTCTCTTGCATCCTGAAATCCGTTCTCAACCTTAACACGGTTTCAAAAAAAAACTACTACTCCTACTAAATACAACTATTCACTATAAGCCGCAGACCCAGAAACAATAAGATGAGTGTTGAACCTAATATCTACTCGGATGTAGTGTAAACTTTCCTCTAATAAAATGAATATACATACAATAACGATTCTGTGCCTGCTACATTATGTGTTTGGCATTCAAGTTACTAACCTAGATACTTCACCCTATCTATTAAATTCTTCTTACTAAAACTTTGCAAAGACACACAGACACACACACACATATATATATATATACATTTAATACTTCTCCAATACAACACCTAGTATATATGCCTACAATCCATCTTCACTTAAAAGCTCGCCTAGTCTCTCTACACACACACAATCAACATGTCAGAGTTACACTTACATATTGTATAACAGGCACGGGGTATATGATTCATTACCACTACTCATATTACAGTTATGCGTGATGGCATTATGTATTCCACTCATTAGGAAGCGGCAGGCTTTGTCATAGCCCACCAAGTCTTGCATGGATTCCGGGACGAATACGGAGTTTTTTTTTGTGTGTGTGTGTGTGTGTGGGGGGGGGGTATTTGATAAATGGGTAGGTGTGAGTAATCAAGGCACCGATTATGTGCAAGATAATTCCACGGAGTGTAGAATATTTGTCATCTTAATTGGTAAAATTAGTGCTTTTTTTTATTCCTTGGGTAGAAGAAAATGTAGTGAATATAATTACAAATATCAGTGTGAAATGCACCGCGTTTGTATGAATTGTTTTCTTCTAAAAATCCAGTATTGAATCAATAAGTATACTAGGTATATTGAAGACTTGGTATATAAAGATATGCAGCATGGGTTCGAGAGTCTAGACTCTCCTTTTAAAATCCATGCAAATAACCAAGCAGACTTTCAATCAACATTCATCTTAGAAGACGTGTATATATCTCCTTGCACGCATGGAACTACCGACTGTCAGAAACCAATGGTCTTTTTTCTAAAACAAAAGGCAGGGTCAAGGGTCTGATATGATAATACGGATAGTACCAGATGCAGTATGTCCGGGCAGGTATTGTTTTTGTCAGTGGCAGATAGAAAAAAAAAGAGAGAAGAAAAAATAGTAATCCCCATGTCAGACGGCATGTACCGACGGCACGTGCAGCCGTTGATCCGCTCCGTTATCTTGGGTCGCCACTTGGCCCGGAGGATATGGGATACGGGAAATTCCGTCTAAGAGTATGGTATGAGTGTGTGTGTGTGTGTGTGTGTGAGAGAGAGAAAGAGAGTACATGCGACTAGGAGCTTGGAGGTTAATATGCAGGGTTTGAAACAGGGGACTAAACCCACATGCGCTGCGTCAGCTTATCGGAATTACTCAGAAACATTTCCCAATTACACCAAGTGTGCACTAAAGTATACTCATCCAGTACAGCCATGTCTTAGAAAAATCAACCAACGAGCTTACTTTGCTGGCTCGAGGTCCAGATCCACAAGCCACGGGCCGTTCCAAGGAGCATACTGGAGAGTCATGATGCTGGCATTGACCATCAACGTTTCCTTGCCGAAAGTGACTGCCGAGTGGGTTCCCTGACTAATATCGACCGTTACTGCCCTCTGGTTCCTGGCGCTACCATTATCGACTTTTATCGGCTCGGCCTTTCTGATATGCTGTTTGGGGTCGTGGACGTCTAGTTCACCGTCATTCCAGAGCACCTTTTGCGCCCCCCACGCCTCGTGGATATGGCCAAAGCAATGCATTCGCGGCCTGCAGCGGCGAGCGGCGCGGAGTAGATGCTGGCAACCGACGCTCTCGCCTCTGTTTGTCTGGTCCAAGACGCCCATTGGCGGGCCGTGTGTCATCATGACATCGATGCTGGGGAAGTCTGGGACGGGGTTCTGGGCGATGGGCTTGGCATAGGGAGTGCACTGGTGGGATGCGTTGTAGCGGTCTTCATCTCGGTAGTAGGGGAAGGCCCAGTCGCAGAACTCTGGCTGGTAGGGCGACGCGTAGACCTTGGGCATGTCAGCTGTCAAAAGGGGGGTCTGGCCACGGCTACGTGCCTTACCCGTAGATTGGCTCCGTTGTCCAGCGTGAAGGTATGCGTGCCCTCGTCCAGATACGTCACACGGGCCTTTTTTGCTCGCTCGCCCGTCCACATTTCTCGTGCCCGCGCCGGGCAACTGTCGACGTGTTTGATGCCGTGCATCCTCTGGCCTTTTCTGCTGTAATACTCGGCATCCAGCGAGATGTCGTGGTTGCCGGCAATCACGAGCTTCAGGCCGGCATCAATGCCCTCGAGCATGTCCAGCGTCTTTTGGTACTCTTCCAGCAGGCCCACCATGGTCATGTCTCCGCAATGGAGCAGGACGTCGGCTCTGGGGAGCGGCGGGCGGAAGGGAGTGTCGTTCCTGGCGGCATTCTCCGAGGGCGAGGCAGCGTGGGTGTCGGAGATGACGAGGAAACGCGTCTTTATGAGAGCTGGCGGCGCAGATGGCATTGTGGGTGTAGCGGGCGTGGCGAAGCGCGGGAGCTCCAGGCTTGGTGGGGGTTGGTGGGGTGGTGGCGGCGATGGCTTGAGACGCCACAGGCACCTCGACGCCGCCCACGCGCCGTGTCCCGAGGCAGCATCACGGCCGCGCTCTCGAGACGACGGCTGGAGGCCGCGGGCTCGCCCTTTTCTGCTGGCACAGCGTGTTGCGGGCGTGATTGATGACGAAGCATGCCGAGGGCCAACAGCAGCAACACGAGAAACACGAGGCTTGGTCCCAAGTCGTGCCAAAGGCCCAGGATTGAGGCAGCGCGGCTGGAGTCGGCGCGGCATCACGCCATGTTCACGAGGTGGTCGGCGACTGCGCCACGGCGACTACAAGCACGGCGGCCGTCGACAGGCACGTCGAGGTCGAGCAACACCAGCGGCGCCGTCGACGTCCTCACAAAGCCAATGCTGATCCACGTCGTCTTGCTCGCCACAGTCCAGGCCCGGTAGGGATTGCGGCGGGAACGCCCGTTGGCAGTGCCCGGGCATGCTCAAGTGGCGCCACCATGGGCGTCCCGGCTACGCGACCAACGGTTCGACCAAGTAGGTGTCTCCAGGCCAGAGCTAAATGGGCGGCATCACAGGGCTCCTCCAATTTGCACCGGCACCCTGCAGTCGGACGAGCAATTCTTAGCCTCGACGCCCCTCTGTCGGATGCTCCGGTGACTAAGAGACGCCTAGGTGTACGTACATGAGGCACGAGGCGTCGAGCACCCGTTCCCGGCCAGCTGCCCACATGGGTTGCTCGAAAAACGTGTCCGAGTCGAAGAAGGCGTTGAGCGAGTAGTCTGGGCCTGTGTTGTAGACATCGCTCAGATAGGGGTTGTCGAAGTAATTGGTGTATGGCATGTTGTCTGGTGGGGGGGCAGGAGGAGGAGGAGGAGGAGGTGGTGGAGAATCAGCGGCCCTGGTACCTTGGGTGTTGGTGGGAGGGTTCATCAGCTTGGGTGGGTCGAGGTAGGTGGGTGGTGTGGTGCGGCGATCAGTCGTATTTAGATGTATAGTCAATACCCGGAATTGGAGGGTTGACGAGCTATGACAATGGCAGGCTGGGTCGGCATAACGCAGGCGTTTAATAAGGGCACGACACGACAGGCAATGGGTATCGAGGGTTCGAGAAGGGCACAGCCAATCAGCTATGTAACGGAGCTTGTGACCTGCCTGAAATTGTCGTCGTAGGCCAGTGGCTTTCCGGCGTCTTGGTTCCGTCGAGAGCGGTTGCTTGCCAGTTGCTGTAGGGCAATCCCAAAATCGCAAGGCAGCTGTGGATCCATCCTCCAGTCGAGCACGCCAGGCACGGCAAAGACATGTTCCGTTGGTACATGGTGGATAAAGCATTCGGTGGCCGTCGAGCTGCCCCATTCTGCCAAAAGATGCACAAGTCGGACGATAAGCACCTCATCGGCTTGGGCGGGTAACGAGAGCATCTCGTGCAGAGCTCCACTGGGCCGAACAAACGTCCTGCTCCGCGTATCCCCCGAGCCCGAGATGCCGGTCCCGCTGATTCATGGAGCCAGGATGAAGTGTCTTCCCCAGCGCCTGCGCCCAGGCGGGCAGCGGTGCCAGGACGCCTTCTGGCGACACGGGGCTGTATGTGTCGCGCCGCCGCACCGGCTGGGCCCTGGCAGCGGTCGTGGGCGGCCGGTCCGTTGTCATTGTGTCGAGCGCGGGTCCAGATAGTCGTCGCCATGTGTGGGCGAGAGACAGGCGCAGGCTCCGTCGCATGTCGCCTACCCCTCACATCGGTCGAGGGCTCGTCCAAATCCCCAGCTGGCCTTCCTCCACGGTTACAAGGGACGGACATGTCCTCGTCTACCATGCATCCCCAGCAGCCGTTTGCCCCCAACTATGAGCACCCGGCATTCAGCCAGTTTGAGCGGTATCAGGCCAACTTCTCGATGCATCCCACACCACCACAAAACGGCGACCCTGACTGCTTCTCGCCCACAACCACGACCACGACGATAGCAGGAGCGTCCCACCCCTCATCACACAGTGGAGACACCCCGCAGCAAGCCGTCTCGCCCTCACAGAGCCCACATATGCTCACGCGCGAGTCGCCCTCGTCCCCAGCCTCAGCCTCTGAATCCTCGACTCCCAAACGACCAGCCAGGAAGCGGGGTCGTCCGAAACTCGACCGCAAGAATACCGACGACAGCCAGCCAGCCGCCATTGCCACGTCGCCCACGCTCAAGAGCCAGCGTTCCAGACGCCAGCCCCACAACCAGGTCGAGCGCAAGTACCGCGAGGGCCTCAACTCTGAACTCGAGCGCCTCCGCAGGGCAGTCCCTATTCTGCGTCAAAGCGACGAGGCCGGGGTAATTGGCCAGCCCAGACCCAGCAAAGCCATGATTCTGGCGAGTGCAATCGACTACATCCAAACAATCGAGCGGGAGCGAGATGCATTGAAAGAGGAGGTCGACGCCCTGAGACGCTTCCAAGCTGCAATGCGGGGGGCGGATAGGAGAAATGAATTGATGGATGAGTTTTTGATGGATCCTTAGTGCGATACGGAATGAGACGTTTTTGGACATGGTGATGGTTTGGGCATATCAAGACCCATGGAAGCAGAGAGAGAGAGAGAGAGGGAAAGCTGCGTCGCGAAGAAGATGAAGACGAAGACGCCGACGAAGAAAGAAAGAAAGAAAGGAAGATAATCTGGATAGGAATGAGAAGAACAAGAAGAATCACAGAGTCACGGCAACACGCATGACATGACATGAGTGTTCATGACCAACACCGAGGACGACGATAACATCAACCTCCTTTTTTCTCCAACCTCAATGTTAAGACGGGAACCATCACTATCATCATCGCCACCGCCATCATTGCCATCACCATCGCCACTACTATCCTCCGCAAACGCATCAAGCACACCACGAAAGCCAACATTGAAAACAGAGCAAACAGGAACAAGGGAGAAGAGAAAAAAAACAAATATTGGGAAGTATAAACCATACGACACGACGCGATTCGATTCGATTCAATTCAATTCGAATGGATACAGGATGGGAATGGATATATATATATATATTTTTCTTTTTCTTTTAAACCTCTCTGGCTCTGGATGAAACACTTTTCAGTCTCGATTTCAGTTTTCGGATGACGCAAGAATCTCGTCTCAAGTCTCTCCAAGTACGTAGTGTCTTTTTTTTTATTATTCACCTCTGTTTTTTTTTCCTACTCTATTCTCCACGTTATTCTTTCTCTCTTGACTTGTTCATTCTCACTCTCATTGTTCTCGTTCTCGTTCTCGTTCTCGTACTTGTACTCGGCATTTTTTTTGTCTCGTTTTTCTTTTTTTGGAAAAAAAAAGAAAAGAAAAGAAAAGAAACATTTGGTTGTTATTGCTTATATCTACTTGTTTACCAAGTTTTAGCAAGCAAAGCGCAAAGTCGAAGAGTGGCTTTTTTTTCTATATATATTTTTTTTGGTCAACACGGGGGGGGAAAGGTATCAAGGATGTTTACATTACGGTTACGGTTACGGTACGGTACGGTTACATTACGGTTACGCTATGTTTACGGATTATCAATGTGGAAATGGGAAATGGGCGATTCGTGTATAGACCTCTTTCCTCCTCTTTTCCTTTGTACATTTTTCTTCTTGATTTTCTTGATTTTCTATTCTTTTTTTTTCTCTTTTCCTTCTCACTCGATGCAGTAGTATTCCGAACGGCTTCAGAATTCAGAGACTTGGGGATTCAGGGATTCAGGGATTCACAGACTCGCCATGTTTCTCAACTGCAGCTTCAGGGGGGGACTATATATAAGCAGACGTTCTTGGGATTCTTGTATTCAGGCGTTTGGCAAGGGGTATATATATATCTACCATCTACCATCTACCTGTTACGATCCGTGACCAGTAACAAGAGGAAACTGCTCACTAGTGATCAGTTTCGAGGATCCGAAGGATGCACTACGCCGCAATCCTTCGCAGCCGTGCCGCAGTCACGTGACCTGCTCAGTGATCAGTATGTCTTGGCACTACTGAGCAACTGAGCACTTTGCATGTAACCTGCAAGCTGCTCAGTGATCAGTACCTCTTGGCAGTACTGAGCAACTGAGCATATTGCATGAAGCTTTAGTATATAGCACTAGGCATTGAGCCCTTATGGCTCGATGTGTTCAACTTAAGTTTTGAGTACAAGTACAATACAGAGAGTTATTCTACTTGCACGTTACTGTCCTCGTTTGCACCCTGTCACTCTATCTGCGAAAACCAACCAACAAGAAGATCAATACCAGAAGTCTTATATTACTTCCACTTGATCTATACTCTTAACACTACCATCTACCTAGCCAGGCAGAAGAAGAGCCATATACCAATATTCCAACCATGAAACAAACGAAGAATATTTTCTGATATAATAATAATACCCCCCCCCCCCCTTCCCCCTTTGTCCCTCATTCCCAGCCCTTTCACTTTCTAGCTCGTTGTGCTTGTGATGTACATACTCAGCTTTCTATCTATCCATCTGTACATCCATCTGTCAATGTAGTTGTGCAGCTATACAACCATGTGCCTCTTTTCCTCCCCATCATTCCTTCGCCCCTAAAAAAAAGGGGGGGGTGGGGGGGGGGTAAAAGATAGACGAAACAAGCGAGGAAAATGCAAAGAGAGGAGATGATGGGAAAAAAAGGATGACTACATATCACTACATATCCCTGGCACTGTTACTTACTTAGACCTCAGTGTATACCTAGTTACATATATCCATTAGGTGTTAGGTTACTTCTGTTCAGTTTAGTTTAATAACAGCCAACTGCTTCCTCCCTTCCTTTACCCCCTTCCTGATCCCTGATCCCTGATCCCTGGTCCCTCCATATATCTACCTGCTCCATACCTAATCCATGCATATTCCGTACCCCCCCCCCCCCCCCAAAACCAAAGAACCAAAAAAAAATCCCCCCTCCCCCCTCTTCCTTCCCTCCAAATTACTATGAATAAAACCGAGAATCCAAACCAAACCAAGCCCAACACGTGACATCTTATCTTATTGCAATCCCCCCTTTCTTTGAATTATCTTCTTGATTTCACTTTTTTTTCTATGATTGGATTTGGTGAACCTTTCTTTTCCTTTCCTTTCATTCCTTTCCTTTCATTCCTTTTCATTATCATCATCATCATCACCTCGTCTCTAGCTATTTTCCCACGTACATTTCATGTAGACTAATGCAAGCGTGACATTTATTGTAGAAAAGCCATGCATAGACGCTGTATGTACACCTAGTAACGTACTAGGAATGTTAGACTAGAAAGATTCGGACTAGGACTAATCTGTCCAAAAAAAAGGACATGATTGGCCTCAAACGAACAACAAATGCATGTGCAAGAAAACAAATCAAATCCACAGTTATGATGGATGATATTCTTTATTTTTTAGAGGGATATTTACAATCATGGTACTAAAGACATACAATGTTTTTTTATTTCTTCATATACGGCAGAGTCGTGCGAGGGTTATACTATAGCTTCCTGCGTTTGCTGGCCGTGGGGGGATCGTCGTCTTCGGCGGCAGGCGTGCCCTCGTTACCTGCTTTGCCGCTGTCGCGCTCGACATCTCGCCATGTGCTGACGAGGCCTTGGACGGTTTGGAACATGTCTCTTGCGTCGTTGACGACGCCTTCTTCTCCAGGGTTGAACATGACGGCATTGACAAACATGCGCATCAGCTCCTTTTCCAGCTGCGCGGCGTTGACAATGGATTTGGGGGGTACGTTGTCTATTGTATAGGGAAGCTCAACGAAGCCTCCTGTAGCACCACCCGGGCTGGCCGTTGGGTCCGACGCTGCGGCAGCTGCAGCAACTTGCTTTGAGCCTGCCGCTATGGCCTTTTTGATCGAAGACAGATCCGTTGGGCGCTTGATGATATCATAGTAGCCTTCTGCGTCCTTTGCGCGAACTGCCGTGTTGAATGTGGATGCGTGCTTGTGAGAGTTGATATCGTACATCATCGGGGCCGTCATGCGCGCAAAGTTTCGCGGTGCGATGATGACTCTGGGAGGACCTGGCGTGCTAAACGACTGGTCTTCGGTCTCTTCAATCGAAGCCTCGCGCGCATTACGCTTTCGGCGGTTTGAGAGAGACGAAGCTGGAGCAGCCGCCCGACGTCGCGTCGACATGTGCGATGGCGTTTCAACAGCTGCTTCATCGTCCATGGCATCGACTGAAGTTCCCCGCTCTGATTTGATCCTGTTACCAGTCTGAGACTCATTATCTGCCGCCACTGTGTCGGTGTGGGAGATGATGGACTGGCTCCTGCTGCGATCTCGCCCAGAACCACCGGCTCGCGAAGATGCAATACTCCCAGGCCGCGTTCGTTTTGCAGGGGCCTTGCGCCGGGAGCGTCCAGACCGCGTCTCTGGCTCCAGCAGCCCTTCTTCGTCGTGGTCGTTGATTTGCCTGGCATGCTGCGGCGTTTCATCATCTGCCGTAGACTCGTGTTCTTCTTTTCCTTTGCCCCTAGCTCTTGACTTGCGCTGCTGCGACTTTGTCCTCGCAGGACTCTGTGTTGGCCGGATCAGTGGGGGCACGTCATCGAGCGGTTCCACGTCGGGGCGCGGGCTTGAAGACGTGGATTGCGATCCATTGAAACTAGATCGCTTCCAAAAACTCTTGGCTGACACGGGAGTGCCCAAGGAGCTATGCGGAGAGCGGGCAGTGACGGGCGTCGAGACTGTCTGCCTTGCCTGGTTGACCAGGGGATGGACGGGAGGGGCACCTGCTCTGGCGGTACCGGGTGTCTGGACGCTTGGGCGGGGCGGCTGGCGGTTGCTTGCGGGAGTCGACGATTGCGCATGTTGCGGCGGCACGGCTGCTTGGTGGACACGCGACGGATCCTGCGGGGCGACCTGAAAGGGCGGGAGCATGAAGCCCGCCTGAGGCGGTGGATGTGTCATTTGCGGCTGCAACGGTGGATACGGCTGGTGTGCTGCATGAGGAAACTGGGCCCTTTGCTGTCCGGGGTGCAAACCTGGGGAATGGGGACCTGGAGGCTGTTGCAGCGGGAACTGCTGGTGCGGCGAGTGGAATTGCGCATGCGTTCCGGGTGGCCCGTACTGAGGCACGCCATTGCCGCCAAAGTTGTGCACTGGTTGGGGCTGATAGTGCGACCCTGGCGAGCCTACTGCTGGCGATGGAGGCTGTGAGGGGTGGCCGACGCCGTGGTGGGGAGCGGCTTGCGGTGTCTGGCCCGGAGGGAAGGGGGGCATGTTTGGATACGGAAGAGGGCCATTGTAGGCTGGGTGAGGCTGGGCTTGCTGTTGTGAGAGTGGAGGAGGGGGCGTGGGGTGTGCATGGGGAGTTGAAGGCGTGCGTCGAGCATCTACAGAGGGCTGCTTGGTCGACTGAGACGGCGAGGGCTGGCCATTCGGGGCAGGCAGCGGGCGCGGCGACTCGGGCTGGGTCGCGTCTGGCGACGGGGCGACTCCAGGAGCGGGCCGGGCGCCATGCTGGACAGGCTGTGGGCTGGGGCTCGGCTGCAGCGGTTTCTGAGCGACATGGGGCGACTTGCGAGGCAGCGTAGGGCTGCGCAGCGTGGGCGTGCGGCGGCTGGCCCTCTCGCGCAGCTGGTCGTCCCACTCGCCGCGGTCGATGCTCTTGAGCTCGCGCTGCAGGCGCTCGTAGCGGTCCTCCTCGGCCCTGATCTGCTCGGCAATCTCGTAGCGGTACGAGGCATACAGCTTGGTGACGAGCTTGGGGATCAGGTGCTGGTGCTGCAGCGACTCCTGGACGGTGGGCAGGCTGGGGCTCTGGCGCTTCCGCTTGGGGGGGTGGGAGCCGTCGGCGGCGAGGCCATCGGGGTCGGCGGGCTGGTCGCGGTCGAGCTCCCTGCGCAGGCGCTCGAGGTAAAAGTTGCGCAGGGCATCGGGGCTCAGGCGGCCGGCCTGGAAGTACTTGTGCGTGGTGATGTCGGGGTGGTGGTTGAGCAGGTCCGAGATGCGGGCAAAGACGGAGGGGCCGACGCCGTAGGCATGGAGGCACTGGAACAGCAGGAGCGACTCGAGGTTGGTGTAGGCAGAGACGCTAGTCGTCATCCCCCAGGCGTCTGCAGCGGCGCGTCGAGGGCTGTGGGCGGTTGGCGGGATGGGAGCCAGGGCGGCGGCGGCGGGCGAGCAGAGCAGCGGCGGCGGCGGCAGCGGCTACTCGAGACAGACGACGACGGGCATCGCATGCGGCGGGCGATGGGGCGATGGGCGGGCGGCGATGGGGGGGTTGAGCGATGGGGCGGGCTTGGGGTGGGTGGAGGAGCAAATTGCCGTCGCAAAATCGTCGTCGGCGTGCCTCTGCCAGCCCCAGCAACGCCTAGCAACGCCCGCCCGCCAATCAGACGCGTCCGCCCGCACAGGCCCCGGACGCGCCTGGAGTCGCGACCATGGCCGCCCAGAGCGCGCGCGAGAGAGCGAGAGAGAGGGAGGGAGAAAGAGAGCGCGCGGCGCTGAAACACGCCGCACGCCCGCGGTACCGCCCACCGTCGCCCTGTATCCATGTCTCGCCGTGTATAGCACCCAGCCGGCCTCCCATTACGTAGTGCTGCCTGCATGCATCCAGCGCCGCCAGCCTCCAGCCTCTGCCCTCCCTCGTCGGGCTCCGAGGCGGCGGCGGCGCATCACAACGATCTACACACGCCCCCCCCCCAATTAGCCTGCGTGCATGGACATCCCATCCCATCCCCTTTTCCCCCTACCCTGCCCTGCCCTACCCATCCCAACCCATCCCATCCCAACCCAACCCAACCTAACCCTCCCGGCACTGTCATCGTCGCGCGCCCTCTGTTCCAAGGGAGCCATCTTATGCCCAGCTCCCTCGTGCACCAGGCCCGCCCGAGTCGCATGAAGCTCGTCTTGTCTTGTCCTGTCCTGTTCACTCGTGTCCCATCTCATCCTGTCCCTGCCACTAGCCCATAAATATATCCCCTCGTTCCTGTCGTCGGCCCCATCCTTCTCCACGACTGCCCCCCCCGCCCGCCACGCCGCCCGCTTGTCTCCCTGCACCACCATGACCTCGTCGTACTCGACACAGCCCGCCGCCATGGACGACCCCGACCATGGCTGGAAGCCAAACAACCGCCCCCAATCGTGAGAAGCCTCCCCCGGCGCTAGCATCGTTGGCGCCTGTTCTATTCTGTTCTGACCATGCCTGCAGCACCGTAGCGCGCAACTTCATGACAGAGCTCAACAGCCTCTTCAACCTCGACGACGGTGGCGTCGAAACGCTCGACCGCACTGTCCATGAAAAGTAGGCCACCCCGCCCGCTCACCCTCGTCCCCGCCCGCTGACGCCCGCCCAGGAAGGAAGCCGTCAACTCGCAGACCAAGGAGCTCGAGGCTCTCGAGGCCAGGCTGCGCGCCGCCGAAGAGCGCCTCAACCAGGCAAAGAACCACTCGCCCCCGGCCAAGAGGGACCACGGCAACACTACCAAGACCACCAACCAAGACGAGGCACGGCTACAAGGCGCCGCCAGCCCGCTCGCGCAAAAGACGCCCAGTATGCCAGGTGCGCTCCCACAGACAGCAACCCCTTCGTCAACCACCAGCGCTGACTATGTCCTGGTAGAGAGGCCCTCGTCCTCTGCCCAAGCCGAGGCCGCATAGCCCCATGTCATTGATGATAATACCACGATACCCAGGCACTGCGTCCTCCCTCATCACTCTCTGGCCGCGGCACGCCCATGGCGTGCATCTTGGACAGAGGCATACTTTTTTATAATCACTCAAGACATTTTCTCTTCTGCTCAGGCGCCTACTTGTTCGTTTTCTTCTCGCGCCGTGGGCGCGCTTTCGATAGAGGCTGCGGCCCTCCGTGGATTATCTAGCTGGAAAATGCTATATACAGTCCATTTTGGCTCCTGTTCTGATCGCTCTTGTCGTGTGGCTCTCTGTTTGTGGTGGTGGTGGTGGTGGTCGTCGTCGTCGTCGTCGTCCCCACGGCCCGCTAAATGCGTGGTGGTGGTAGTAGTAGTGGTCGTGGTCGCGCGCAGGGTGCACGGGCCCGCTCGTCGTACCTGTCATCTTAGGAGAGGCTCCGACAATCTCCGACTCATAACCTTTGCCATGGCCGCCGCCGCTTGGGAGATTATGGCCGACGCTCCACACGCCGCCGCGCTCGTCGAAGCTTTCGATAGACTGGTCGACGAGGGCGTCATTGTCTACGGCCCGCACCAAACCATACGAGTCGACGCCAACGGCTACCCGGTACGCACCGCATTTCTCTCCCTCGTCCTCGGTCCCCCCGCCAAGCCTTGCGCTCATGACTCTTGACAGGTCGAATTCCGCATCTGTCCAACGCTAGCCACAAAGCCCCATACCGTCGGGGCAACAAACCACGCCTTTAATCACTCGCGGAAATGGGGGCCCGGCAGCGACATGTACTGTCCCGACGAGCGACTCATCATTACCCAGCTCAATCAGACGCACGACCTGGCGCTTAACCTCTTCTGCGTCGACCGGCCACAGCTGCTCATGCTAACGCTCGACTCGTACAAGCGCCAGCACGAGGCCTTGGACACGGATGACTTGACTGTCATGCTGCAAGTGCTGCGCCAGTTCCCCGGCATGTACGTCATTTTCAACTGTGGAGAAAAGGGTGGCTGTAGCAGGGTGCACAAGCACCTCCAAGCGCTGAATGGCCCGCCCTATGCCTTTGAATATCTCCTGTCAGCCGTCAGCGACAAGCACAAAACGGTTCCTTTTCGCTACTTTGTCCATCACTTTAGCGAGGGCTTTGCAAACACTTCGGCCTCGGCCGTCTTGTCCGTCTACGCCCACCTCCTCAGACAGTGCCCGCCAGCCCTCGACGCTGGCCCAGACGAGGCACCTCCCCACAATGTTGCCATGTGGCATGACCGTCTCGTCGTCATACCACGGCGGAGTGGCAGCATAGAGGGCGCCAGTGCCAACACGGGGGGCATGCTCGGAAGTGTCTGGGTGACGGGCCAGCAGCAGGTAGACGAGTGGCTAAGAATCGGGTGTGCAAAGGTGCTGGGGGAACTGGGAGTACCTGGCTAGGACAAGAAAAAAACAATACACATCACAACAACATGTCTGCTTTTGTTTCTCGACCAGCCCAAGTTATCGCCTTCTTGGCGACCGCCTCTCGATAATGCGGTATACTCTCCTTCCCAGTTGGACCCTCGCTTCGGAGCAGCACTCAGTGTGCATTGCATCACGTCAACCAGCTAGCCATGACTACGACACCACGTACCTTGACTGCCCAGACCTGGCCTCTCCGTATCGCGTAGCCAAGACCAGCCAGTCCAGTCTCCGCGCGCGCTGAGCCCCTACCCCTGCCTAAAGCGTCAAGTGAAATACCCCCGAGCCAATCACGCCCACGGCACCCGCCTCCCATAACCAGCGCGCCAAGTGATTCCATAGATTAAACGTCCATCTACGCCGCGTGCCTCTATTCCGACCTCCTTTGAATGTCCATCTCCCGCGCGCTCCGTCCCAGTTGGACGCTTGTTTCCTGGCCCAGCAGGTCCCTGCTAAGAGTCTGGGGTAGCTACCTGCCTGTTTCATCATTTCACGTGGAAATGGACAGGCTGTCGGCCATGCTACTCGATGGGAAGGTGGGATAAACCATGTAGTCGCCGTCAAGCATAAAGAGGAGCCCTTTCCACCTGCTTCATACACCACTCCACTCGCCTCCGCTGGCCTGCATTCTTCATCATGAAGGCTACCATTCTTACCTCGGCGCTTCTCCTCTCCTCGACTGCCCTGGGCACCGTTGTCCCCAGGGCTGGCAAGAAGGTCGACTACAATGGCTTCAAGGTCTTGCGCGTAACTGCCACGGACAATGTCAAGGACCAGGTTGAGAGTCTGTCGGCCCATGTTCTCAACCCTGGCAAGTCGGCCGAGATGGATGTAGTCGTTGCGCCTGAAAACGTCGAGGCCTTGACTGCATTGGTTGCCGAGAGCAAGGTGCTCAACAACGATGTTGGTGCTGCTCTCAAGGAAGAAGGCGAGATGGGTGTTTATGCTGGTTTGTGGCCTGGTCACTACACTTGGTATCATACTAACAGCAACTAGTCCCCAGCGAGTCATGGTTCACAGCATACCACCCATATGCCGACCACATTCAGTTCCTGCGCGACCTGCAGGCCGGCTTCACTGGCCAGTCTGAGATTGTCAATGTTGGAACTTCTGTCCAAGGCCGAGCTCTGACGGGTATCCACATCTGGGGTAGCGGCGGCAAGGGCTCCAAGCCTGCCGTTATTATCCATGGAAACGTGCACGCACGAGAGTGGATTACCTCGATGACTACCGAGTAAGTGACATGAATCCAGCTAGCACCGAAACAAGCTAACACGCCACAGGTACTTTGCATGGCAACTCCTGACAAAGTACTCGTCGGACTCGAGCATCAAGGCGCTCGTCGACAAGTTTGACTTTTACATTACCCCCATTGTCAACCCCGATGGCTTCGTCTACTCGCAGACCACCGACCGTCTCTGGCGCAAGAATCGCCAGACAGTCAGCGGCAACTCGTGTGTCGGCCGCGACATCAACCGTAGGAAAAAGATGAACCAAACTACATGACCAAGTCAACTAACATATGCCCCAGGCAACTGGCCCTACAAGTGGGAAGTCACCGGCGGCGCCTCCACCAACCCCTGCGCCGAAACCTACAAGGGCCTTGCCCCCGGCGACGCTCCCGAGCTTCAAGGCGTAAAAGCCCAAGTCGACGCTCTCAAAGCATCGCGCGGCATCCGTCTTTACCTCGATGTGCAGTACGTCCCCTCCTTTTTCCCCTTTCCCCTATTTCCCTCTTACTAAGCCTCCCCACCCCAGCTCCTACGGCCAATACATTCTCTGGCCCTACGGCTACGACTGCAGTCTGCGCGCCGAAAACGACGCTCAGCACCGCAGCATCGCCACGCGCGCCGCCTCGGCCATCCGCGCCGTCTCCGGTACCGCATACACCATTGGCCCCAGCTGCGCTACCCTCTACGCCACTACGGGCTCCTCAACTGATTACACCGACGTCACGGGTAATGCTACCTACTCGTACACGTACGAACTTAGGGACAAAGGTACTTATGGATTTACCCTGCCGGCTGCCCAGATTCGACCTACGGCTGTGGAGACGTGGGCTGGTGTCGTGAGTATGCTGCAGGATGCTTAGGTGCTGTTGTGATGATGATGATGATGATGATGATGATGATGATGATGATGATGATGATGAAAATCAGGATGGGTTTTTGACGATGATGATGGCTATGATAACGATGACGATGGGATTCTTGTGTATACCTTTTTTCAGTGTTTTTGAGTGTTTTTGTTTTTTATCAGACTAGCATACCTATGTGTAGGGTGTGTAATACAAATCTTTATTTTTTCTATGACGACTTTTTTCATTCCATACATATATACATACATACCTACCTATATACAACTTTGCCCTTTTATTGCACACATGCACATACCTAAATATACACATAGACCCATGCCTCCACACCACCTCACTTTTCTCTTTCCTCTTTCCTCTTTCTACATGTATGTATATACACACCCAAGAGTTAACAATCCAACAAGACATCTCCTGTGTAACAATAATAATAATAATAATAATAATAATAATGTGCGTGCAGTATGCGTTGTGCAAGCAACTAAATAGCTGATATGCTTATAAGCTGCATTTTTACTAACTCGCTGATTTACTAACTGGTTTATCGACTTGTTGGCTGGCTGGCTGGCTTAAGTATGTATGTATGTGTGTATGTATATATGTATGTGTGTGTGTGTATAGATAAAGCAGGATTTACAATGTTTTCTGTATGAACCTTGGTTGGTTGGTTAGAGGATACTTGGGTAATGCATGTTGCGGGGCTGGGGAGAAAAGGGGGAGAAAAGGGGAAAAAGAGGGAGAGGAGGAAGTATGTATAGTAAACATTTCTTTCTTCTTCTATTCTTTACTAGTCACAATACTAACCTTTTTTCTTCTTCTTGTATAAACGCAATGATTACTTGCTTCATGTAACATTTACCCAGTTTCTTTCTAGGTCATCATGTATTATTCTTCTTCTTCTTCTTCTTTTACGTTTCTGGTCCGCAAATCTTCTACTTTCCTCCTCTATTTCGGTCTTGGAAAAAATTTTCTCCTACTATGAAGGAAGGATGTGGAAATGGGCAACGGGGGACATTATTACTTGTCGCTTGTTACGTAGCGTTCATGGACATGATTATCAGAGATTCTTGCATGTGGAATGAATACACAAGTGTCTTGTCACATCCCCGCAAAAAAGAGAGAGAAAAGAGAGAAGAGAACAATAGTAACATAACTACCATTCAAACCATCTATATCCCTACGCCCACGAAAAATGCTCAGAATGCAAATACACACCAACGGTACCCACAGCACCCCCCAAAATACGCAGGTTCTCCCCCGCAACTGCATTGCGGATATCATTCTGCATGGTGGCCGGCCCACACACATATACATTGAGGATTTCCTGTGCATCTGCTGCTTTGGCGGCTTCTTCGCGTACAAGCACGGGTAGTGCTGGGCGGCCTGTGTACTCTTTGCTTGTGGTATTGGCAGCGGGACTTGCGCCTCTGGTTTCGAGTTCCTTGTCGCTGGCTGTGGAGGAGGATTCTGCGCCGACGGGGCGCGTTGCTGGTTCTGCTCCGGTTTTCTCGGGGAAGTCGGGTGGTGGTGCTGTTGTTTCGGATGTGGTGCCGGAGCCAGTAAGGTAGACTTGGATTTCGATTGCGGAGGCATGTGCAGTTGGGAAGCGGGCGAGGAGGCGCTGGACGGCTTGCTCGAACCATAGTCGGCTTCTCGCGTCGCGCGTTACGAGGACCATGCGTAGAGATGTGTATTTTGAGCCTGGAGAAGAAGACGTTGGGTGGCTGTTGGCTTCGTCCTTGCCCAGCTCCTCGTCGTGGAAGCTCGACGTCGAACGCAAAAAGTGTTCCAGAAACGGTAGACACCAGCCTGCGCCCGACCCGCCAGCGATAACGAGAAGCCGGTCTGCAGTCCGCAGCTTGAGCGAACTCGCGCCGCCGTACGGCCCGTCTACGATGACGGGAATCGTACCGTCGGGCTTGGTGAGCGCGTGCTGATACAGCTTCTGCGTGAAGCCTGCTTGGTGGCGGATATAAAACACCAGTTCAGCAGCATCGCCCGGCCGGCTAGGCGGTAGCGAGCAAATGGTAAACGGGTGAGCGGAGAGAGCATCGAGGAAACCGAAGCCGGTGAAGCGCAGGAAGCAGTGTTGGCCCGGTGACCAATATTCGCATCGTGCCGGGATACTGATTCTGGTGAAACCGTTGCCCTCTACTGATACTCGCGCTTGCTGTGTCCCCTTGTACTCGAAGACGGTGCGTAGCACGGGAAAAACAAAGCACGGGACGTAGACGGCGGCCGTGGCGACGAAATAGTGCCAGCTGGTTAGCGTGTGGTCGCAGTGCCAGAAGAAAGTCAGTATGAAGATTACCACGGCGAAGAAGTGGGTTGCTTTGAAGAACTCGTATCCAAAGTTTCTACTGCCGCGTTAGCTGCATGTCGCTGTATGACTCGGGGTTACTAACCGGATGGTGCTGTGCGACATAAAGGTAAGCCAGGCTTGAAAGACGATTGCTACGATTCCTGTCCAGTAGAATAGCAGGTTGTTGGTAAAGTGGTGTTCCATGTCGTGCCAGTGGACGTGGTACACGATGAAGGGGAACGTGTGTAGGAGAGCCAGGACGAAGAATGCGTATGAGATCCATCGGTGGAACACTTGGAGCCGTTCATACGACACTCCGGTGAGCAGTGTGATCCAGTTTGTTTTGCTCGCAGTAGCACTGCTTTCCGTTAGCACGAGCTTCAACACACCATAGCGGCCATCACACGCACAAGATAAACGGCATACAGCCTAGCGCCAGCCATCCCGAGCGCGTGGCCAACGGCGGAGAATTGCCAAACTTTTTGCTAGCCCAGTAGTACGGCTGCGGTGCTAGATCCATGCCTGTACCCAGCATCAGCCCGAATCCTCACAACAAATATCGCACACACGGGAGACGTACAAAAGAAGAATATCGTTCCTGCGGCCCCGAGTAGCAGCACGCCGACGGGAGCAGAGTTCCACTGCAACCGTCCGACGTGGAACCCGCGATACGACAAGTACCGTGACACGGCCAGACCTTTCCGCCAGACGGACTTGCGCTGCGCTTTTTTGTGTCGCAGAAACAGCGACGAGAAGATGTTTGCAATGATGAAAATTCCAATCGCGCACATGAAAAAGGCGACAGTCGGCAGTGCAAACACATGGTCTGCAATGTACCTGGCGAACCCATCAGCATCGTCCCAAGGCAGAGAGAAAGAGAATCCACATACCAAAAGTGCCAGCGCTTTCTATACCACGCGCACTCCTCTGCTGTCTTTGTGCCACACGTGGACATGCGCATGCCCGTAAGCACCACGGGCGACGAAAGCCATGCTGCACTCATGGCGCGGTAAATGGATTATCTCGCACGCAGGAAACCAGTCCAACGAAGCCTTGAACCGCGGAGCCAGACTGACTGACTGGTACGAGGGCAATAAAACAACAAGGGAGGGAGAGGGAAAAAAAAGCGAGTTTCCAACCTCACAGCTCAACCATTCCAAACCGAATAAGTTGCACACACACACACACACCCTAGCATATGTACTTAGGTCAGTACTGTAAGTAGAACAGAAAGACATGCAACCCCCCAGTAAGCCACCAAAAACAACTACCCACACACACACACACCAACCCAACTACCATGTCATATCACGCCGGCCGCGCGCCCTTGTCTCCCCGGGTCATGATATCTAGCTCAATCTCTCGCCTACACCAGCCTAAACCCCTCGGCCCAAACCCCATGTCGCGCTTCCCCCTTCCCATCCACGCACGCACCCCCCAAAAAAGCTTGCGAAAAAGCTTAGCTTTGAAACCGGCGACCCGGGAATACCGGGTCTAGTGTCCCTCTCTATTTTTTTTGAATACCCCCCCCCCTCCGGAAGTGAGTTGCGCGCGCGGGGGTTGGGGGGAAGAGCCAATAGGCGGTGCGCGGCATAACCAGATTGAGCATATATGAGCAAGTTTTTTTCTGCTGGGGTCTGGACCTCACTCTACTGTATCTAGAAAGATAGAGCGAGTGAGCGAGGAACACCTGGGTTCAAGTACTAAGTAGCGCCGTTTCGGGAGGAAGCATAGGAATTGGGGTTGGGGGGGTTAAATGGGTTTTGGGGACATAGATAGGGCCGATGATTTCGGAGCTTGTTGTCTCTTTTTTTTTGTTGGTTGGTTGCTTAGTTGGTGGCTTAGTTGGTGGATAGGGTTAGTGTGTCTGTGTGAGCGTGGTACGGGGGTGTGTGCGGCGTGCGACACTTTTTTTTTTGCTGGCGGATAAGCAAGTTTTGGAACTAACCGGGGGTGCCTGTATGTAAGTATGCATGTATGTATGTATGTGTGTGTGTGTGTGGCCCGATATATACATATATTAGCGGTGGGAAGGGTAGGAATAGGTGTCCCCCTTGTACCATTGGATTTTCGATTTTTTTTTAAAAAAATCTCATTTGGATTGATCATCACTTTTACGCATACTAGGTTTTTACTGACTAGGTTGCTTAGTTGTAGGGAAACACGGCTTTCTTTTTCTTTTTTTTTGGAAAAAAAAACTTACCGGGCGGATACTGGCCTTGTCCGTTCCAAACGCGAATTCTACTACGGGAGAAGAAACCTATGGGTCGAGCAAAGGCGATAAAATTACCAGAGTAATCGCTTATACCTACCTATCCTACCGACCAACCTTCCTGTAAACATCCACCCACAAGCCCACCAAACCCACACCACACCAACCGCAAAAATGGACATGCATACCACCATGTCCATGTCACCCACCGCCACCATGAAAAACATGGCCATGCCCTCTTCAACCTCGCCCTCCATGTCCATGCTCTCCACCTCCAGCATGTCCATGCCCATGTCCAGCATGCTAATGACCTTCTTCACGTCCTCCCGCACCCCTCTCTTCTCCACATCCTGGACACCCACCACCAGCGGGCAATACGCCGGAACCTGTATTTTCCTCATTGCACTGGCAGCGGTGTTCCGTGCGCTCGTAGCGATCCGGTTTAATCTGTTTGCGGTGTTGGAGAGGGTCAAGGGGAGGAGGGGAGTTGTATCGGCAGTGGGGAATCGGGGGAGTGCGGGGTTGGAAGGGGAAGGGGGCGAGGGAAAGCAAGGGAGAAGGGGGAGGACGGCGGAATGGAGACCCTGGAGAGCGGATGAGGCGGTTTGGATTGCGAGTTTCGATGTGGTTATTGCGGGGGTGTCGTATTTACTGTAAGTATTCTTCTTCTTTTCTCTCTCTTGATTCTTTTTTTTTACGGCAAGTTGAGCGACGAGGACAAGTGTGTTAACCCAGACCAACAGCATGATAGCCGTCATGACGATGAACGTGGGATACTTCATGTCTGTTCTCGCCGGCGTTTTCCTGGGTAGTCTGGCTTTTGGCAGGTTCATGGCAAAGGCGGCGGCGCATTAAAGGAAGTGACTGTTGAACTGGGCTGGAACTAATGAGTGGGGGGCGTTTAAATGCGGAAATCAGTGTTCTATACTGTTGGTCACAATGGAATGGAATAACTATAGTAATATAAACAGAAGAAAGATTGATCTTCGCAGGAATTTGGAATGAGTTCAGCAGTGCCATATTGATAAAGACGTGGACGAACTATATTGTTATACGCATTCAAGTTGGGCTGCATAACGGACGATCCGAGTCTCCTTGCGCGAAACCACTCTATTCAAAGCTTGGTTATTAGCTTCATGTGCTTGTCCAGCATACAATATAAAACAAGACAAGGGTATTTCGGTCGTGCCGCCGTCGGACATACTGCATACACATATGCGATACGAAAAAAATGGACTTATTTTCTGGCCAATGACAACGCCCAAAATTCCTGGTATCATAAAGTCCATCAAACCCCCAACCCTTGGGCACTCGGCACTCGGCACGGCCGCAATACAGGAACAAATGGAGTCGCTCTACGCTCTCGTGTGTATAAAGATAGGTACACACAACATCTACCCATGCACTCACGCAACAGTAACACCCTTCCTCGTCCTGAGCGCAATCTTGGCCATATTGCGAAGATCCCAACCGTCCTTTACGTTTTTCGAATCGGGAATGTGTTCTCCAGAGTTGATGACGTGGACCTTCATTTTGGGGTGAAACTTTAGGCCAGTCAAGAGCTTTGGTGTTACGAGAAAGTATTGGCTTGTACGCTCTTGACACGCAATGTCCACCATGCGCTCGTGCACCATGCGTTCGTTGCGCGGGTCCATGCCCTGATTGATCTCGTCAACAACGCGGAACGGTGATTGAGCAAGATCTTGCAGAGCCATGAGGTAGAAGATGGTCGACACAGCGCGCTCACCGCCTGACTGTCGATGGGAATTCAGGACACTGAGTGGCTCATTTTCGCTATTGAGGTCAGTCAGGTTATGTGAAATGCCATAGAATAACGTACCGGAAGCGGACAGAAATCTGGATAGACCAGTTGTCAAAGTCTTCCTCGTCCTTGTTCACAGCAACCTCGCCAGCACACCCAATCTGCTGAAAGTTATGTGCAAAGGCATCGCTGATCTTTTTTATTAGCACGTCGAGTTGAGGTTCCCACTGCTCGCGAATCTCCGTAATCTTCTCCCTGGTCTCTTCGAGACCAGCTGTGTACTGCTCTAGCTTCTCCCGTGTCCTGTTGATGTCTTCCTCGCGCTTCTCATAAGCCCTGATAGCGCCAGGATTGCCTTCGGCCATCATCTCCAGCCGTGCAGCGACGGCCTGAATCTCCTGCTCGAGGTGGTCAAACGAAGGAAGCTGGCGATACTCCAACACAATCTGCATTTCCTCTTCAGTCAAGTTGTCAATGTCTTGCTGGGTAGCTACCGTCTTCTTCATGTACTCGTCGCGGAGACGCTTGATGCGAGCTGTGAGTTCCTGGACCTCGGCCTCTTTGGCCTGCTGCCTTTGGATCATGGTACTGTTTTCATGCCTCAACGCATTGAGCTCGGACTTGGCTTCAATGAATCGAATCTCGGCCTCAATGAGCGACTCATGAAACGTGCGCATTTGTGATACGGTTTTCTTTGTATGTCAGCAAAGTGTGATTGCCATGTCAGTTGTTACTCACGGCGTAGTCCAGAGTCAAGTCGGCCACGCGTAATGCCGTTTCACGAGCTTCTGCTTTGATCCCGCGGATGCGGTCATTTGTTTCTGCATTTTGCTGATAGTAGTCATCCAACATACTCTGCTTAGAAGCTTGGTCTTGTCAGCACACATCCTATTAGTTTACTGAAGAAACCTACCAATCTTGTCGGGCAGGGCCTGCCACTCGGCGAGGGCCTTTCTCGTACGGTCTTGTTCTGCTTGTATCTCGTCCTGGTATAATATCAGCAACAAGAATTGGTACATGGCCAAAGAACAATACCTTTGCCTCCTTGAGTCCCTGCATCTCCTCCTTCAGATTCCTAATTTCGGTTGTGACGGATTTATGGTTGTCTTGTAGCTCTTCTTTTTCTCGCACCAGCTGCGTCATCCTCACTTCAAGCGCCCGCAACTCCTCTGTGTTGGCTGGTTGACCGGTAAACCATTGGGCAGGTCTAAGTTTGATGACAGACGTTGAAGAGGCGTTGTACTCTCTGCGCGTGACAATGCGATACGTGTCGGTGCCACTTACCCAGCTGCGGATAGGACTGTTTGAGACGGCAGCGTGCTGCTCGTCTGAAATCGGGGTCGGAGCGTAGGCGATTTGATGCAGGCGGTTGTTGTCGCAAAGCATGGCTAAAACAGGCGCAGGTCCTTGAATATACTCTAGCATGTAACCTTGGAATCCATATCTGACCAAGTCTGCTGCTGCAACGGGTGGTCTGTATGCATCAAGAGGCTTGGGAGACGTTCGAAGGTGAACATCATGGAGTCCCTGGCCTCCATTAGCCGGCTTACTCAAAAGACGGGTCGATAGCAACTTTTGGTCCTCGCTATCAGTGCAAGTGATTGCAAGGACATCTCCTCGTCTCAGCTGACCTTCCAGGGCCTGGGCGTATCTAGCATCTGGAATAGAGCATTCCAGGATTGGCGGACCAAGGACTTGGCCTCTGAGATTCAGCGTGTGCTTGTTATCTTGGATCCATTTCCATGCTCTTGCTGTTTCCGAAGACAGTCTTTGCAGCAGACTTGCCTGCTGACCGCTTTGAGTGTTGAGCTGCTCTTGCTGTGCCTTGAGTCTTGCACTCTCTTGTGCGATGCCGTGAGCGCGTTCGTGGAAGTCTTTTACAAAACTCTGCTTTTCAGTAATTGTGTTGCCGACAGAGGAAAGCTGAGCTCGGATTTCAGTCTTGCGTTTCTCATACGCAGCGGCGTCGTACTGTACAGGCTCATTCTGTCGCCGTTGCTCGAGCCTATTGATATCGGCAGCCACCCGGACAATGTCTTTTTCGCGAGTCTTCTTGGAATGCAGCTCGGCCTTGATCTGGTCGGTAAAGTCGTTTGCCTTGGTCCTGTCTGCTTCAATCTTTTTGCTGAGCCTGTCGGCTTGTGCCTTGATCATGTCGACGCGGTTCTTGCGCAACTTGACAACCTGCTCAACCTGGTCACGATACACTTCCACTTCTGAGAGGACCCTACGCGCTGGTTCCATGGCTTCCTTGATCTGGTCGAGCTCTAAACTGGCCAGCCTCTTGTCTTCTTTGAGCTGTGTGATATCGGATTTGAGCAGTTTGATCTCAATCATTGGCCTGACCTTCTTGAGACAGTTTGATTTGCGCAGCAAGCCTTCACGCTGATGAAAGCGCTCCACGTCGTCTCTGGTTGCATTTTGCTGTTTCTCCAGTTTTTCCAAATGGTTGCGCTCATTCACCTCCTTGGTCTGGAAGTTTCGTTCCTCGGCGCGTAGGTCCTTGAGTTGATCGTGCCACTCAACCATGTGCGGGGGCGCCGCGGCACGTTGAGTTTCTCGTAAACGTTCCACATCACTCATCTTGGCAAACTCGACGACGCGGTCTTGGGGCAAGAATTGACAGAGATTATCAATCTGGATCGAGAACTGCTTGGCCATGGTTGTGACGGCGACCTGTGTGACACGCTTGCCGTCCAGAAAGTATACGGATTTGTTGTCTTCCTTGCGAATGGTACGTTGCACGATGCGATTTGGACCGTTGCCTGGGCCTGTGGCGAGCTCGATTTCGATGACGGCTTCCGTAGCACCATGCTTGACAAAAGCACCCAGATCTTTCGCTCTTCCCAGATGCTCACTGCCCCATCCAAGCCCCAGACATATTGCGCAGACCAGCGTACTCTTTCCTGTGCCATTTGGGCCAATGACCATGTTCAGGCTGGGGCCCAAATGAAACTCGGCGGCCGTGTATGTGACAAAATTCTTGAGTTTCACCCTCACGAGGGAGCCTGGCTGGAAATCGTCTTCGGCATATGCGCTTGCATCGTCGTTTTGTACGTATGAGTGGCCGTTGCTGCGGACAGGACTGTCGGACGCGTTCCGGTCATGTCGGGCGCGTTTACTGCCTGATGCTGATGAGTCGTCGGACTGCTCGTCGGAAGCCTCGCTGACAGCTAGCGAAGGGCGCTTCCGCCTTCTTTGAACTAGGCCCGGCATTGTCGCAGTGTATACGTGTGGGCGGGTTGTCTTGTCGAGCACAATGTCTTGAGAGAGGGGGTGGATGACGATTAGCGTGGGCGCTTCACGTCTGTGCGCGGAATCGCGAGGCGCTGTCAGGTGACGGCGTGTTCGACTCGACACAGGATGAACCTTGTCTCGTGTGGCCAGCAGCGTGTCCAAATTCAGACAGTGCAAACTGTACTCATGATATTCGTGTATCCATTGTCTACTAATACACGATCCTCCGAAAGCATGCCGCGCAATTGCCCGCCAAAAGGAATATGCGGGTCCCAGACCAAACGCCGAATTTGATGGAGACTGTGATGGCCAAGTCATGAAAGCGTTCCTTTTATCCATTCGCCTCATTACTCGTCCCAAAACGACGACTGCCACATGCTTCAAACGAATCGCATAAACTAACAAAACCGCAAATGCACAGATGCAGCCAGTGCTATCGCGTGCTGGGCGAGGACCATGCCTCTAGAAAATGGTGCCAAAATTCTCGTCGACCATGGGAAGCGGCTTTCTGGGGCTTGCCGGCTTACCATTCTCTTCGGTGGGCTTCTTGTGGCGGAAGGTGACTGCACTCGTGTTAGCACAACGAACAGCCGGTGCTTGGGCCAGTACTTACATCCAACAAAGAGACCTTTGCTCATTTGGACATTGCGATCCTGCATAGCCTCCAACGCAGCCTGCTTCTCGTGCACCTCCTTGTACTTGGCCATGTCGGCTTCGTTGCCAAAGTCGTCAAAGTACCCGGCGTCAGTCTCGCTGTCCAGTTCTGGCACGAATGGTGCCTTTTGCTCCCTCAACTTGGTCCAATCCACTTCAGCAAAATACTGATGAGCGTGAATCTCGGTGATGTTGCGGAAGCGGGAAGTCTTGGAGGCCACAAGACGCACGATAAGGTCCCATGTGCGCTTGGAGAGAAAGTACGAGGGGTCTTCGTAGACGGGCTTCCGCAAGACCTTCTTCCACTGCTTCAAGTTCTGCCATGTCTCGTCGACCGTGGCGCCAGCAAAGGGCGGGTATCCAGCCAGCGCTTCGAACAGCATGCACCCCAAGCTCCAGTAGTCCACTGTGAAGTCGTACTCCTCCCCCTTGAGTACTTCAGGGGCCATGTAATCCGGACTGCCCACAATGCTCTTTGCGTAGTTGACATCTCGCTCACGAAGGGAGCGGTAGTTTTCTCGTCGCTGCGCTGCAGATCGCTCTTCGATTGGTCGGCCGAATGGCGAGACGACATCGCTGACCGACTCGAGCTTTATCCGCATCGATTCGATCTTGGAGGGGGCAAGTATACCAGCAGCCAGACCAAAGTCGGTCAATTTGACGTGTCCGGTGCTGTCGATCAAGAAGTTCTCGGGCTTCAAGTCTCGATGGATGTAGCCCAATTGATGCAGTGAGTCGATACATGTAAACATCTCCGCAATATAGAAGCGCGCATGTCGGTTGTGCAGAACGCCAGTGTTGTTGAGTAGGGTGCGAAAGTCACCTCCTGGAACATATTCCTGACACATATCAGTTTATGGCCATGATTCTTTGGCTCTGTAACTTACCATGGCAAGGTAGATGCTCTTGTCGTCTTGGAAGGCGTAGAGCAAGCGTACAAGCCACTCGCTCTTAGCCGTGGTCAGAATATCGCGCTCTGTCAGGACATGGCGGACCTCATCCAGCTTGAACAACAGCTTCTTGCTCATGACCTTCAAGGCGCAAACTTCGCGCGTGTCCTTTTTCTGGGCCAAGTACACCTGTCCATAGCCACCCTGACCAACCTGGGTGAGGATCTGGAAGTCGCCCTGTCTTAGCCGCGTGCGCCGCTTGCGCAGGTTGGCACGCTCGCGGCCGAGGTATTGTGTGAGAGCAGTGTTGTAGTCGTCGTCGGGCGTCTCGGGCGGAGGAGGGTTCTGGGCCTTGAACTGCGAGAGGCGGGTCTGGCGGGTGTGTACGTAGGTGAGGAGGTCGTAGTAGTAGTCGAGGAAATCTACGAGGCTCGTTAGTCATGTGTTGTTGGCTGGCAGGCAGGATACAAAACATACACAGTTGCGTGACATTGGCAAGGCGCTTGACTGCGGGCTTCCTCGCCTTCTCCAGGTCCTCTGCCGAAAGGCGCTGTGGACCGTTCAGGTAGCGTGTCGACTGCTCCGTGTCGCGCGTCCGGTAGGGCTCCTTGCGCGACTGCGCGGCGTGTGTCATGTGGCTGTTGTCCTTTTGTACCGCGGGGCGCCCGCCCGGCGGTGCGTTCTCCTGGTTCGACCTGCGTGTGGGCGAGCCCGATGTGACCGTGGTGGAGTCTGGCCCCGCGTACTCTGCATCGTCGGCGGCGCCCAGCTTCAGCTTGTTGGGCAACGTCGGCGACGCTGGCTTGGAGCGCGGCGAGCCCATGGTGGGCAGGAGGCGCATGGCATTCTCGAAGACATGGGGCAGGTCGAATGCGCCCGGCGGCTGGTGGTGTTTGCTTGGGCTGCCCTGGGGCGTCTGCTGCGGGCTGATGAAGGCCTCGGCGGGCGTGCCTGGGCGGTCCATACTGTTGCCACGGGTGTGGAGGAGCGGCGGCGGGACGGGCAGTGGGAACTTGTCCCTGTTGTGGTGGTCGACCATGGTCGTGGTCGTCTAACTCGATTGCGACGGAGAAGGGGCGATTGCGGGCAGCAACAGCAGCAGCAACAGCAGCAGCAGCAACAGCCGTCGCTACACAAGACAAGGAGGGGCGGGCCAGCGGCGAGAGAACTGGGCCGGCGCAGACAATCGCCTGTCTATATACGCGGGCCTGGGACCTTGCAAAACCTGCGACAAACAATCCGGCTTGCCTGCCCTCAGCTTCTTGTTGATGGTGGGGTGCGTGTTTGGGGCTAAGTGTGCTCCGGGCAACGATGAATTCCAGGCTCCCTGGCAGGTGGGACCCCATCTCCGATCGCCATCAAGGTTTACCATTGCCATTTTTAGTATCCGCCTGTCGTGGTACCGTCTTGATGGCGCGTTGAGTATTATGTACGGATCCATTCTAAGTACTGCCCCAGATATCCAAAATCACCCACATTGAGACTCCGTCTTCCCGGAAAAACACCATACCCCGCCCGCAGAAACGCCGTACATGGGGGGGGGGGGTCTGGACAGACTTTCCACGCCAAAAAATGATATCATAGCTCCAGCTCTCCCGCCCGCCGTGCCACCGCCAGACGTCGAGGCAATATATGCAGTGCCCTTTGTCTTGCCTTGCTTATTCCCTGCCCCTCGTCTGCCCCCCCAAAGACATTGTCGTCGCCCAGTGAGCCCTTTACAGATTGTGAAAGTCACGTGGTATTCCATTAATTAGTAGTTGCTCGCGCGCCAGCAGATCCACAAAGGCTTGACCGTTGCGAGGAAACGTGTGCATCATGGCCTGCAGATGCCGTGGTGTCTCAATGAGCTGCTTTCGACACATGGGACATGTGACTTTGTTTTTGTGGGTTCTGCACGTATCGAACTAGTTCATGTTCAGCAAAGCAGCCTCATGACTTTTGGCAGTCGTCAAGAAAAAAAAAACTCACCCATTGGAAGATGCAGAACTCGCCAAACAAGTGTCCGCACGAAAGCACGATTGCATTCTCCTCGTCTTCTGTAGGCGAGACATGCGAGGCCGAATAATCCTTCTGGCAGATATCACACGCCTTGGACGCATCCTCGGGCAGCTCGCTTGGCAGACGCCGCACGAGGCCATCTTTAAGTTCCTGGATCTGTCGTGGCGTGGCAATGTTGGGATCAATATGCGGGCGGTACCCCGCAAATCGAGGCCGCACTTCTCTTGGTCGGTGCCTCATGCGACTCGGGGGTGGCGCTCTGGCGGCCGCCTCTTCTGCGTCAGACGACGTGCTCGAAGGCGAAAGATCTACAGAGTACCTTTCGAAATTGCGGCGGTTCGAGGTCCGCGGAGAGATGCTGCGATCTGAACGGCGACTGTGGTCTCCAGGCGACATCCACGGACGGTATCCTGAGGCAGGGCGGGTTTGATCGTTCGGCTGACGGTGTTCGTGGGGCTGCAGTCTAGTGCTCTGTAGCCGCTCCCCGGGCGCTGAATCTCGAGTGCTTTGGTGGGGGGTGCGCATGCCTCCCGCGTGAGAGTTGCGTGCGAGCCCCTCGACAACATTCCTCTGGTCGTAGCGGCGGCGGGCAAACGACGGCCCAGGCGCATTCAGGGCCGCTGTCGACTGGTAGTGCTGGGCTGACGTTCCTGGCGTGGGAATGGGCTGGAAGCCTTGCATTGTGTTACTAGTGTTTGAGAAGGGCTGGTCTGGATGCAGATGTTCAGGGCCGTTCCAGAAAGCTGGCGGTGGCCTTGGAGGACCGGTAAATTGATATGAGAACATGTGCGGGTGGTAGTAGGGATAACGAGTGCCCGCGGGCGGGTAGGGCGAGCGATCCTGTAGCTGGGTGCTACCTGGGCCATCGGGTACGCTGCGATTCTGCGAGATTGGGTGGCTGTTCATGGGCAGATATAGGCTTCCATATAGAGGCGGCAGCTGTTGTTGGAAGGGTGCATGTGCAGACAGAAGCGGGGCAGCCAGCTCTGCAGCTTGGTGTCCGGAGCCAGTGGTGAGATGAGCCCATGAAGCCGCACCGTAGTCGGGTTCGGCCATTCGAGCTCTTGTTTGGAGGGTCAACGGGGGGAGGCCGGTCCTGGGTAAGCCGCAGTGGACGCTGTGTCAACGAGTGGTAAGCGGGCAGGCTGGGGGCTGAGTGAGCGCGCAAGTCGGGATTATTAAACAAAGACGGTGGAGCAGACAGAGGCGGTTTCTGTGCCGTGGGTTGAGGCAGTCGAGGAGTCGAGGAGTATAGAGCAGAAGGATCGAACAGCGTCATGGAAGCCTTATCTGCGGCTTAGCAAGTGCGTGCGGCCTAGGCTGGTGCCGATGGAGCACGAATTGAATGGGCTCAAAGGGTGAAGCACGCTTGGAGGACTCAGCGCCCGGGCTGCGAGACGGCAATAGCCAGGTCAGCGATAAGAGGCGGACGGGACTGTTTGTCGAAGCTGGAGACGGGCCTGTGAATGGAGATGAGGGGTCATTAGCTCAATGTCACGTTGACACGCTCCAAGGCGAGCGCTGGCATGGACCGCAAGAATGGTGGAGACGAGATCAGGTGCCCTTTGCAGACTTGACTCGCTTGCATTAATCTAATCATCAGTCGTCGGAAGCCGGAAGGCGCAGGGCTCCAAGACCCGGGCGTCACGCTGCGACCGAAGAGTTACTCAAAGTATTACTGCGAGCGTGTGTCTTGGCGGGCCTGTACTGGACATGTCCGGCGCGCAGCACAGGCGGGCGTGCATGGCCAGGGCCAGGAGCGTATTGCCCGCCCCAACTAAGTACTCAGACACATGCTGAGCGGAACCGAGCACGACATGGCCGACGGGCGTTTAGCGGCAAAAGGACCATGGGCGCGAGAAAGCTGTGTTTCACTCAACAGGGTATGCCCGATCATGCCGAAGTTTGATCGGTGGCTACGCGCGCTTTCCACTAGGGCGGCCGATGCAAGTGCAAGTGCAAGTGCAGGTGCAGGCAGAGCCACATGTGGGCAGCGTGGCGGCCAGCCTGGCAGCAGCCGCTGGCGGAGTCGTTTACTGAGCGAGGGCGAGGTGAGACAGTAGGAAATAGAGAGCGCGCGCCGGCGGGCCTGGGACGACTGGCGGCAACAGTGGCTGGGCTGGGCCGGGCGGGGAGACTGCGAATCGCCGCGGGAAAGTCGAACGCTTGACGTTGCATGCGGAAGAAGTCAGGCTCGGGCTAATGCTGCGAATTTGGCGCCGGCTCTGGAGCCCCAGACGGCGGCGACGACGACGGGCAGCTCCACGGGCAGGGCAAGCGACGTGGCGGGCGTGTGGGTGTGGGTGTGGGTAATCCATCCTTCGACGGTGAATTTCGAACAGGAGCAAGGACCGTCGCTCGTCTCGCCACGCCGCTCGAAGGAAAGAAGGCGCTGCATCGCGGATTGCGCCTGTGGCTTGGCACGGCGCCCGTCACGTGACCGGGAGCCCCCGGGTGCGCGCGGGGGAAGGATCGGGGGCGGCGGCGTGTGCCTGAGCCTGTGAGGTCAGAGCTCCGCCGCCTGCGCGACCACGGCCATTTTGTCGCGAGCAGGCGAGCAGCCGTCTCTCCATCGTCTCCTGCCGGGCGCCTGGCATCCATTGAGCTCCCCCGCCATCTCCACCCCCTCAATTGCACCCCCGCCGTCTGCTGCGACATGTTCCGAAGCGCGACCAAGCTCCGCGCGGCCGAGGCCGGAGCCCTACGCTCGCTGGCACATGCGAAGGCCACCAGCCCCTCCTTCTCGTGCTGTGCCCGCATCTCTCGCCCCCTCTCCACCACCAGAGCCTCGCCCCTGACGTCGCAGAGCCTCTTCCAGCGCCGCCAGTTCAGCGCCACCACCGCCACCATGGCCAACACCAGAACCGAGAGCGATGCCTTTGGCGAGATCCAGGTCCCCGCCGACAAGTACTGGGGCGCCCAGACAGAGCGCTCGCTCGAGAACTTCCGCATCAACCAGCCCCAGGACCGCATGCCCCCGCCCATTGTGCGCGCCTTTGGCATCCTCAAGGGCGCCGCTGCCACGGTCAACATGAAGTTTGGGCTGGGTATGGCGCAGTCTTCCCACGACCGCCACGCTGCCATGCTAACGCTACACAGACCCCAAGCTCGGAAAGGCCATCCAGCAGGCCGCCGACGAGGTGGCCTCGCTCAAGCTCATCGACCACTTCCCCCTCGTCGTCTGGCAGACTGGCTCCGGCACCCAGTCCAACATGAACGCAAACGAAGTCATCTCGAACCGTGCCATTGAGATTCTCGGCGGCACAATGGGCACCAAGAAGCCAGTCCACCCCAACGACCACGTCAACATGTCTGCCTCGTCCAACGACACCTTCCCCACCGTCATGCACATTGCCGCCGTCCTCGACTTTGAGGAGTCGCTCATCCCCGCCCTCGCCAGCCTGCGCGACGCATTGAAGAAGAAGGCCGACCAGTGGGAATCCCTCATCAAGATCGGAAGGACACATCTGCAGGACGCGACACCTCTGACGCTGGGTCAGGAGTTCTCGGGCTACGTCCAGCAATTGGACTTTGGCATTGAGCGCATAAAGTCATGCCTGCCGCGCCTCAAGATGCTGGCGCAGGGAGGAACCGCTGTTGGCACCGGAATCAACACCTTCAAGGGATTCGCCGAGGACATTGCCTCGGAGGTCAGCAAGATGACTGGCAAGGACTTTGTCACCGCACCCAACAAGTTCGAGGCTCTCGCTGCCCACGATGCCATTGTCGAGGCCCACGGCCAGCTCAACACCCTCGCCACTTCCCTCTTCAAGATTGCCCAAGACATCCGCTTCCTCGGCTCTGGTCCCCGCTGCGGTCTCGGTGAGCTCAAGCTGCCCGAGAACGAGCCTGGCTCCTCCATCATGCCCGGAAAGGTCAACCCCACCCAGTGCGAGTCCCTGACCATGGTCTGCGCCCAAGTCTTTGGTAACCAGGCCGCCACTACCTTTGCTGGATCCCAGGGTAACTTTGAGCTCAACGTCTTCAAGCCCGTCATGATCCGCAACCTGCTGCACAGCTCGCGCCTGCTCGCGGACGGCATGAGGAGCTTCGAGAAGAACCTTGTTGCTGGTCTGGAGGCCGACGAGAAGCGCATCAGCTCCATCATGAATGAGAGGTAAATTAACCTACCACTTCTATTCACCCATAATACTAACCAAATGCAGTCTTATGCTCGTTACCTGCCTCAACCCTGTCATTGGCTACGACGCTGCTAGCAAGACCGCCAAACATGCTCACAAGAACAACCTAACCCTCAAGGAGGCTGCCTTGAAGCTCGAGGTCATTAGCGAGGCTGACTTTGACAAGTACGTTCGACCGGAACTCATGATCAACCCGTCCGAGTACAAGCCCAAGAACTAGAGTCATTGTGAGGATGGCTTGGTAAGTTATAAAAACAAAATTCTATGCTGAATCCCTTCTCAAATGAATAAAAATCACATTGCAATGTCATTCCCATTGATTGTTGTCGGAGGTTGTGTCTCCTAGTAACGATAGTTCGGGTGATTTTCTTTGGACCACTAGAGCAGCTCAACTACGTACGAGATGACCCTACTGGCTAGGCTCAATGTAGAAAGGTATAGAACAAGAGACATTGTACCAAATGCGCTTGGTAAGCTGTTGTCAGAGCCTGCTTTTCTCACTGTCTTTTCTCGCCGGACATGCACTGAGTAGTACGAGATACCGAGCTTGCCTGATGCGCTGCATGCATCCTGCGGAGAGAAGACCACCCGACCATTGAATTGCGAAGACAAAAGTATGATATGAGCGAGGCTTGATCGAGAAAATGGTGGTGACTATGGATAAGAATTGTGGCTAACATACAGATGCGCGGATGTTTGTTATAATGTTCATGCAAGTCGGCGCAACTTTGAGGCGTTCCCTGGAGCAACATCTCGGCCGTAAGGCACCTCGGATGACGTTGAGCCCTTCATCCTCACTGAAACCGCGCCAGACCGCAGGTGAGACTACGGCCGAGTACTGTTCACGTACATCATGTTTCGTTTGGCGATAACATCTACAGTAGCGTGTGAAATGAAGTATATCAATGGCTTCGTCGGGCGGTTTTGGCCATGGCCAGCACCAGCGCCTCTACACCAGCATTGCAAATAACTAGAGCACTCACGCTACTATCACAATACCACTCGTTATACAGCCACTTGAAGAATACTTTAGAAAATGGTCAACGCTCATTTCAACCCTGAAAGAGACATCCCAGACCAATCTGGACGAGTCTTCTTTATCACGGGTGGTATGTGGCATGCTTTCAACGGACTCGTACAACCACTGACTGCTCGTACAGGTACCACCGGTCTGGGAGCTTCATCAATCTCCTTCATCGCTTCCCACAACCCAGCGCATATCTTCTTCAGTGGTCGCAGCCATGCTCGTGCCGATGAGCTAATCTCCAAGGTTTCGCAAACAGCACCTTCTACAAGGTTGACATTTATTCAATGCGATCTTGCGGATCTTGCCTCTGTCGAAGCAGCCGCCAAGCGGTTCTTATCCATGTCCAGTCGCCTCGACGTTCTCATGTGCAACGCGGGTATCATGGCCACGCCAGCCGCGCTGAGCAAAGACGGTTACGAACTGCAATTCGCCACCAACCACCTCAGCCACGCCCTCCTGATCAAGCTCCTCATGCCCGTCCTACTGGAAACTGCAAAGCAGCCCGAATCAGATGTCCGCATCATCAATCTCTCGTCTGTTGCATATAGGCACTCTACGCCCTCTTCCGGTATCGAGTTCTCGAAGCTCAAGACCAGAAACGCAAACTACGGTTCATTATTCAACCCCAACAAATGGGTATGTTACGCACAGTCGAAGCTCTCCAATCTACTATACCCTGTAGAGCTCGCCACTCATTTCCCCAACATCATGTCTGTCGCGGTCCACCCGGGTTTCATCAGAACAGACCTTCATGCGAATGAGAATTTCTTTGATCGAAAAATCGTCAATATGATCTCTGGTGGGAATTGGTTGGATGCGAACGAAGGGGCATACAACCAGACTTGGGCCGCTACTACAGATAGGCAGAACTTGGTCAATGGTGCCTACTATGAGCCGTTTGGCGTGGAAACGACACCAACTTCGAAACAAGGGCAGGACCGCGAATTGGCAAAAAAAAACTGTGGGAGTGGACTGAGCAAGAGCTAAAGGACCGGGTCTAGGGAAATGGGCACGTGGCTAGCGCATCGGGTTGCAGCCTGACGTATCGATTGATAGAAGACGGACTTAATACTTTTAGAATTAGCATGGCGTCCCGGCATCGAATTCGCTCCATCAACTTGGCGCTTACAACCTCCAAGGCAGCCCCTACCACTTCTCTCCCTCGACTGAACACGTCTTATTTTCGGCGGCCTACGGAAACCAAGCACCGAAGCATCTTGGAGTCGGTCCACGCGACCCTGACCCAGGCTTGGACGTACGAAGTCTTGTCTGCAGTCTGATGGGAGTGATATATATGGACCTGTCTCTCCCGCCTTTTAGGTAGTTGTGGCATCACATTGCACAATACATTTGTTCCCCCACACATGTTCTCCGCTGGTTGGTGCTACCGCGCTCGCTAGCTTGTCTCTTCCTTTGGGCCAAAAGGAACTAACCACCTACGCCGCCATATCCAAGTGCCTGGTAAACCGGGTTACTCCACAACCCCATGGGGCACCGTCCCACGCACCGGTGAAAGACTGTCGCTGTCACCATCGCCGTCGCCGTTGTATCTATTCGCCCCCCAGTCTATAGACGGCCGTCAACAGCACATGACACCAGGAACAAGCCGCGGCTTTCTCTCAAGCCTGTAGTTTTCACAACCTCCGACACCATAGCATGAGACCGGACATGGCCCCGCCGCGTGTTTGCCGCCCGGGTGATAGGCAGTCTGCCCCTGTTTTCCATGACGCACAACTGACTAGTATTACAGACGATTGCCAAGTTCCCCCGGACCACCCTGTCAGACACCAAGAAGGGCCCCAAGCTATTTGCGCGGCGAAGGGCAGCCAAGACATTTATTGTCCAGCGGACTAGCTTGGCCGACGGCCTTATTGGCTCAATTGACGGTGGAACAACTTCAGAGCCACCTTCCCTCAGTCATGGCCTCGACACGAAGGCACGCTATCCTTGTGCCTCGCAGCGTTGGTTCTCCAAACATACCAAACCAAGCTGCGGCGCGGCTGAGAAACCACGCACCGTCAAGACGCTTAGGTTCCCCCCTCCCCATCCGTGCAACAACACCACTACCCAGTCGGTCCTACTCCCCCGCAAACCCACCAGCACAAGATCTTGGGGCTGATCTCGGCCTACTTGGCCTAGATCCTAGTGCAACGCTGGATTGGGGTATTGTGCTACCAAGTCGTCTGACATGGCGCAAAACCAAGAAGTTTGTTGGCTTGCCAAAGGGCTTGTCGCAGAGACAAGCCCGCCGGTACGTTTAGTACTCGTCCTCGGCGTTTCAATTGGTTCCGGTCACGAAAAAAAACTCAATGGAAAAAAAGGATTGCCTACGGTATAGCCCAGTTGGGAAGTCTCATGGTGCCGTGAGCGGGTTACCTTTCCGGGGGGGAAGGGACACGGCGTACTTCATCGCGACGTCAGGTGGGGGGGGGGGGGATATGGGGGACAGGATGAATGAAAGACCTTTTTTTGGAGTCCTTTCACACCACCCAACAAACTGGATGCTGGATCAAGAGAACTAGGCCCATTTGCGTTGCAACTCCAACAGCAAGTGAAGTGTGTTTTTCGGCAAACATGCAAACAGTGTTAGTGCGCGGAGCGCCGCCACTGCACCGGATTACAGGCCCTGTTATTGAAAGTCGAACCCTGGCTGTTGGATGCGGAGAAGTGACCGGCAGTGCCCAGCTTCTAAGGCAAGAAATGTCCTTGCGACCTCCGCACGGCATGGATGTGGATGCGTGCTTGCGACCACGAGATTCGCTATTCACATCCAATTACCATGCCGGGCGCCTCAGGCTCTTGCCTTCAGAGGCTCCACTTCCCTCCCCTCCCTCCCCCCCCTTCGGAGCCCCATGTCTATAGCCCCCCTAGATATATTCCAGTTCGGTGAGAAGGAGGCGTGCTTGGGATGGCTTGGAACACATGCACGCGCGGATAGACACCGGGACACCGTTCGTGTGTTTTCGGAAGACGCCAGCTACAGGTTCATCTGGAGGGGGGGAGCCCCTCAACCCCCCCACACACGGAGAGGTAGAAGGAGTGTGTGTATAAAGGGAATGTCGATGTCCGCCGGATTGTGTGTTTCCCCCTCCAGATCATTCAGCTTGGTTCTCTGGGTGGTTCAGCGTTTACTTTTTTTTCACCCATATTGGTTTTTTGGGCCTTGAACTATATATCCCCCTCGCTCTCCCCCTCCAAGATATTCAGCTGCAAGGACCGCCACCATGCAGGACTCCAAGAAAGACCATACCATCATGCTGGAACACGCTCACACGCGGGACGACGAGCTCATCAAGCCCATCCCGCAGGTAACCAAGGTGGACTATTCAGGGGCCCACGAGAAGACAGACCCGCGGGAAATCGCGCTCGTCAGGAAGCTGGATAAATGGATCATGCCTATGCTGTGGTCCATGTACTGGCTCAACTACCTTGGTACGACAAGCCTCTTCCCTCTTATACGGATTCAGATTCACTGACAGAATGCCTCTAGACCGCAATGCTATTGCCCTAGCCCGTCTCGACGACCTGGAAAAAGACTTGAATCTCAGCAGCACGCAGTACCAAACATGCGTCAGCATCCTCTTTGTAGGCTACCTTCTCGGCCAGATCCCCAGCAACATGTTTCTGAACCGCACGCGGCCCTCGCGCTACATGGGCATCTGCATGGCGCTCTGGGCCGTCGTCTCGTCTCTCACGGCGCTCTCCAAAGACTTCACCGGCCTGCTCCTCACCCGCTTCTTCCTCGGCATCACCGAAGCGCCGTACTACCCTGGAGCCGTGTATCTGCTCTCCATGTTCTACAAGCGCAAAGAGGTCGCCACGCGCATCGCCATCCTGTACACAGGCAACATTCTCGCAACCGCATTCGCCGGCCTCATTGCAGCGGGAATCTTCCACGGGCTCAGCGACGTCGGCGGCATCAGCGGCTGGAAATGGCTGTTTATCCTGCAGGGCGCAGTCACTTTTGTCATTGCCATTGCCGGGTTTTTCCTCCTCCCGGATTTCCCGCATAACACGTGGTGGCTCACGCAGGACGAGCGCGAGCTGGCGACCAACCGCATGGCCATGGAAACGGTGGGAAATAAAGGCGAGACGTCTGTGTGGGCGGGCTTCCGCCAGGCGGGAAAGGATCCCATGGTGTGGATTTTCGCCGTCATGGCTCATATGCATTTGGCTGCTAACGGTATGTTCTCTCCTTCTGATATCTCCTCCCCCCCTCCCCCCCTTCTCTTTTCTTCCCCAGCAGAACAAGCCCCTAACAATCACAGGCTTCAAAAACTTCTTCCCAACCGTCGTCCAAACCCTCGGTTTCTCCCAAACCATCACCCTGGTCCTAACCTGCCCGCCGTACCTCATCGCCGGCGCCGTCACCATCCTGGTGTCATGGTCATCCGGCAAGTTCAACGAGCGCACATGGCACATTACCATTTCCAAGGCAGTAGCGACCTTTGGGTTTGGGCTTGCGTGCGCCGATCTAGGCGTTGCAGGGCGCTATGTGGCCATGGTGATTTTCACCATAGGCACGTATGGCGTCAACTCGCTTATCCTGGGCTGGTGCGGATCCACGTGTGGACAGACGCCCGAGAAGAAGGCGGTTGCGATTGGCATTGTGACAACGGTTATGAATGCGTCGTTTATTTGGTGCGTTGTTTTGCCCCCCCTAATTCCCCCCTCTCCTACTTCTTCTTGTCGTGTGACTTGAGTGCATGTATGTATGAATGAATGAATCCAGAAACTAACAAAGTAAAACAGGACACCCTATCTCTGGCCCAAATCCGACGCACCCAGATACGTCATTGCACTGAGTTCTTCAGCTGCCTTTTCCGTCATGACGGCGCTGCTTGCGTGGGTAGCCAAGATAATGTTTCTGCGCAAGAACAAGCAGATTCTGGAGCGCGAAAGCGAGGCTCAGAATTTCTATGTTTATTAGTTTGAAAACAAAAAAAGAAAAGTCTTGAAGGCTTGGTTTGTTGTTGTTGTTGTTGTTGCTGCTTTTTTTTAGAGGGGGGGGGGAGGGTTTTGTTGCTGAGATTACGGGAATGGTGGTGGTGGTTGGGGTGTGATGGTATGCCGCTGAGTCATGGTAGATGGGCTGGATGGAGGACAGGAAGGGTATATCTGCTATGAATACATGAATGAATGAATGAATGAGCTTACGAACTGATCCGATATGCCTACCCACAACCTAAACAATGAACACAGAGTGATATTACACCAACCAATCAATCAACCATCCTCTCCATGCATCCAACTACACTAACCACACTACCCGTTCCCCTCGCCTCAACCTTCCCAACACAGCGATGCGCGCTAAACCACATCCAGCCTAGATACCGAACACCTGTTTGGTGCGTGGCCCGCCATTTTTCATTCTAGGCAGCCATTTTGCAGCAGACACGGACTAGACTTTGCGTGTTTAATAATGTGCCGTCTTTTTTTGTGGATGGGCGAATCATGGGCCAGAGGTTTGATGTGGTCAGCTGGAAAGGGGGGAGTGGCGGGTTAGGTGGAGTTATGGTGAGGTATATAAGGGACGGCTGAAGGACGGCGGGTGTGTGGCGAGTGATGAAGAAAACGCAGCTTTTTTGTTCATTGGTTTTTCGTTATTGCAATCGTTGCATTCGTTCATTCATTGTTTTGTTTATTTGTTGTTTAGTAGTAGTTATCGGAGGAGTAAGAGGGTTCGGGGATTTCTTGAACAGGGGTTTGCGGATTGGTGGAGAGTGAGGTGTAAGAAGAAGAAGCAGCAGCAGAAGAAGAAGAATCAACTAACCAGAAGTCTTTTCTTCTCCAAACAGCGGATATGGAATGAGTGGGAGAGGAAGAAAAGAACAACAAACGTGTTGTGCTGAGCCATGAGATATTAGAAACAAGAGAAGGAAAAAGAGGAAAAAAGGAAAAAGAGGAAGAAAAACGCCGGGGCTATGCTTTTTGGAATGTCCTCGGTATGCCATTCTGGGGACAGTCGCTGGATGGAGATGAATGAGTAATGAAGAAATCGGTGTGAAAAAACAGGCTCCAGACAAAGAGGGAGCAGAAGAGGCGGATCAGGACTGACGCGGGATGGGTTGCCGAGTCATCCTAACATGTTGTGTACGATGTGGCCTCCCCCCACGCTCCCTCCTCGCTCCAGCAGTCTCGGTAAAGTTGCCCGGTGGATGTGTCAAATTGTGGTTACCGGCCTTTAGCTCCTTGAGGTCCTCGGCATCGATCAAGCGCCTCTGCCACAGGTATTCGAAAAGAGCAAAGTCGGGTCGACTTGTGCGCAGCGTTTGTCCGTACATGACGTGTTCGGATGCCACATGGTGCATGCGTGCTGCCCACGCTACATGGCCGCCGCCTTCGCACGTGTGGGCTGTCCAATCGCACAAGGGGCACTGGACCGTCAGAGGCGGCTCCTCACCACGGAAATGCGACAGGCAATGGCGCTCCCACTCTTCCTGGTTGGGCGAGACGTAGGCGCAGTCGAGGAACCAAAAGGCACACTCGTAGACGGGTGTTCTGGCCTGTGCGTGGGGTATCTCGAGGATGCCCTCGTGGCCCTCGTCCAGCAGCGGGAAGCCGGCCAGATGACCGGCGAGGCCGGTGCTGATGCTCGTCTCGGTCGGGGTGGCTTCGGTGCAGCACGAGTGCAGAGAGGGCGGGCTATGGGTCGAGGCATTGGACTGGTGGACCAGAGCGGGCGCCATGGACGACGTGCTCTTTACAGTTTCGGATTCCAGGACCAGACTCGCCGTGTCTGCGTCCCCGATGCTGTGCAGGAATTGCTCGCCAATGTGTACCAGCCGAGCCGACAAGTCTGGGGGCTGCTGGACCCAGTCATGGAGCGTGGGCGTGACACCGCGATCGCGCTGTCGCAGGGCTGCCAGAGACATGTCGGGCGGGGTTGAGTGCTGTGGCGCATGCAGCATCAGCCTCAGGCAACCAGAAAAGAGGATGGATCTTGCAGCCCTGCCAGCAGGTGTGCTGGAGGCATGGCAAGGCGAATCAGGACTCACTGGGTGTGGACGAGGCTGCGGGGCCACAGAGTCGAGGATGGAGGTGCTAGTGCTAGCAGGATGGAGGGCAGGTAGGGCTTAGCGTGGCTGTGACGTTTGTGACGTGAGCGCTGTCTGTGTCTGTCGACGTCGGCTCAACTCACTCGACACAATCTCCGGTCAAGGACGGATCGCTGGGCTGTTCATGTTTTTTATCGTCTGCGCCTCGAGCCATGCAGGCCGACTGGAGAGGGCCGCTGAGATGCGGCTCTGCGGGAATTACGGTGTCGTCGTCCACTCACGCCGCCGACAGCTTGCATACCATGTCGTCCACCATCAACACCACTCGCTCGCCCAAAGCGTATCAACGGCGCCACGCCTATGCTCGACCACCCACCTTGCCGTCGCGAAGCCAGGCTGATTGGGCCGGCAACGTGCAGATGACGGCTTTCGGCAGAGGTGGGGTGACGCCCTCAGGACAAGATGCACGCGAACACCTTTCCCCACGGCCTCGCCGACCGCCATTCCACGCCTGAAGTCGCTCTGCTGCTATAGCCGTGTGTCGGTGTGCCACGACGGGTTACCGGTGAAGGATGGCCATGGTCGTTATCTTGGCCCACGCAAAGCTTCCACGTCTACACGTCGTTCGCATTCGCCCACCCATATCCAGAGGAAAAGCTTGGCTGGCCTGCCCCCCAGACCCCCGCGACCAAGTGGGCACCGACGGCATCCACCTGAGGCTATGGCGAGGCGTGCAATGGCTGCCATTGCGTGGATACTTGCGTCACTGCCATGGCCACGCTCCCACTAGCCAAACCCTACGGAGTCGTTTTCGCAGAAACATTGGGGCGATGCCGGCAATACCACGGCCGGCCATGTCCCTGCTTGGGCGTGCACACCATGGCGCCTCACCCACGCTCGCCACGACGACAAGCACACGCACAAGCATGAGGGCCGCCGCATGTCCTCTTGCGGGCTTGGGGTTTCGGGGCGGTTGGGCACATGGCAAGATGCAGAAACGAATCGCCATGGTGGAGACGAGGGCAGCGTTGCGGGCGGCGCTTGGCAGGCTGATGTCGCGTTTCACGGCAAGCGATCCCTGCTGCTTCGAGCATGCTGCGACCGTAGTTCAGCACAGCGCCGCCATCCATTGCCATGTGCATGCACAGTCTTTGCCCATGGCGGCGGCGGCTCGCGACATGGCCCGGTGTCTCTGATGGCGCTGGGCGCTGCTCCCTCGGCCACGCACACTGGCTCCAGCTGCACGCCGCGATCCGTCATACGGCCCCGGCCCCGGCCATTAGCACCACAGCGCTATCGTCTCAGACCCTCGTGTCCGAACCTCTTGCTGTCACGCTGCGACTTAGCACTGCCAGAAAACTGGAGATCCGCCTTGTCTTGCTGCCGCAGGAGCCCCCAGCCCCATTCATGCGCATGGGCGCTTTTCCACAGCCCGTCGCAGCGCGTGCAGAACCCGGCAAGGCGTCTCCCTCACCCTGACGACCCGACCTCCCGCCCAGCCAACGCGACCATTGCTGCTGCCGTAATCCTCGCCCGCTCGCTCTGCAAGACCAAGATCTGCAATCCTCCCATGCCCGTCCTCCTCGACACCAAGACCTGAAATATCGATCGACCAGCCGGCTGCCCGCGGGTTTGGGCGACATGCTCGCTCTCTCCTCGCTCGCCAGCCTCCCGCCACTGCTCTTCAGCGCCCTCATCGCACACGCACACGCTTCCCACGATGGCGTCATTGGCGACAACAAGAGGCCTTCGCGGCCCACGTACGCGACCGCCCTGACCGGCGGCGAGGGCTGCGACCTGACCGAGATTGACGACGTACGCGACGGGTTCTCCGAGATGACCTCGCTGTTTGCCGCCGCCACGCCCTTTGACCTGACGTCGCAGCCCGCGAGGGAGCTGTTCGGCCCATCCATCGCCGCAAACTACTCGGACATGATTGCCAAGAGCCTGCAGCGCGCAGCAAACTACGGCGTGGTCAACGGAGAAGCGGGGGCCGTGAATGCAAACATCCACATACGCTGCGATGACCCCATGGACCTCTGCGACAAGGGCAACAGGCGCGAGGGCAAGCACGCCGCCTACAACATTGGCAACGAGCCGCACATCAACTTTTGCCCCGACTATTTTGCCATGGACTCGCTCCAAACGCGCGTCGACGTCAAGTCCAACGACCAAATCCAAAAGGACCGCCTCATGGAATACTACAACCGCGCCTCGCTCTGGGCACGCATGGTCATGCACTTTTCCGACATTGGCACCGCCATTGTCCAGCGACCCAGGCCCGCGCCTCCAAACTCTACCTCAGAATGGCTCATCGACGCTTACGAAGGCCCAATGAACACGTCTGTGCTTGCTGGCGTGCTCAACGAACAAGGCGATGGCCCAATCGACCGCCAAACCCTCAAGTACGCCTACGGCGCCACGCGTGCCAAACTGCTCGCCTCGCTGTCCACGCAAATGCCTTACGACGCTGCCAACAATGCAGAAAACTATGCCCTGTACGCCCTGTCAAAATACATTATCAAAACCAAGGGCTTCTACCCTGCCGTCCCAATCATGGACTTTCCCAACGAAGCAAGCGTGCTTACGAATGAAAATCTGCAGGACGGAGAACGATGCAAGTACGCCTTCTTTGACATGCTAGATGTAGTGTAAGTGTGCTCTTTTGATGGACATTGGTCTGTCGCCGATGTGTCCAATAAGGCTAACGCATACTAGTGCTAGACCGGCGGATATGGAATCCAAGGGTGCGCCCCTCCCTTCTGCGGCATCATCTGTCCATGCGCCCTTGTCATCTGCGATGATGGGTGTTGCTGGCGTGGTCATGATGTACGCCTTCGTAGCCTCGTCGATTGGATGAATGCCTTGAAATTTGTGGAAACGTACAACCGTTTCGACGATGATATTTCAAGTTGAAGTGCGGATGGATTCGTAGCAGCATGCATGGGTCTGAGAGCTTTATTTGCCTCACCTACATGTTGTAAGAGGAAAAGATTGACAGACCTTACATACCGTTGGTGATTTTGATCACCTGATGCGAATCCGCCGTGGGTACACAAGCATCAACCGCGTATCTCACGTGTGTGAATACACCGGACCCTCTCCACTGGTATTCTCCTGGGACGGTCTTCTCGCCAAAATTTCAACCAAACGAGCACAAACAACTTGTGCCTGGAGATACCGAAGCACACGCCACCATCTTGTAATGGTCGTGTGAAGCCTGGACCGTACGCACACGCAAGCAGCCGAATGCTAGAAGAACATTTCGAACTACAGAGTGTTTGGTACCATATATGCTTGATTTCGGTCCGGGCAGTTCTACGGTAGGACGTAGATTCTAATCGTGACAGGGCGTTGAAGGTTGGGTGCCTGATTGGCTGAAAGTCAAAGAGAGAAATAGGATAGAGTAGATAGATGCCTTTTCCGTCCATGGTCTGGTTCAGCCTGGTCGATCGAATGGCGATAATAATAATAATAGTAGTAAACGAGGTAAACGAAGAGGTTTGGTCCGAGAGTTGTTCTGCTGTAATGTGTTTCCGTAATATGTGTTTCCCCCGTTTAAGCAATGTTACTTGGCCTGGTCTTTTGCTCTTCATGTTCTGGCCGTGATGAGAAGGACTCTTTCGAGTTCTCGTCCGTAGTAGCACTCGCGGGTATGAACAGCCACTGCAGTTCCTAATCCCGCTTCTCTTTTAGTCCCGAGTATTTCTCACGCCCAAGTTGCATACTACCTTCACACTTTCGATGAGACTAGCTCAATCCCGTGACCTGCAATCCAAGCCAAAATATCTTTTCCAACCAAAGTCCAGCAACCCATCCAACACTCAATCTCAGCTTCACCTCGCCCTCTGCCTCCCCTGCTGCACCCACGTTTTCCCTACCATCGCACCCCCCTTCTTCTTCTTCTTCTTCGCAACACCCGCTTCCCCCCTCGCATCCATCTTCCTCGCAGCCCCAAACCCAGACGCAGAACTAGATCCAGCCCCATACTGCCCCCTCGCCCCCCTCACAAGCGCCTCAACTACACTCCCCACCTCGCCCCTCACAACCTCAAACCGCGCCGCAACCAACGGCGCCAAAACATGCATTCTCAGACTCCCTTTTAAATCCTCATTCGCAATCCCAATCTTCCCAATCCCCAGTCCCTCCTCCTTCTTCTTCGTCTTCATCTCCCCCACAAAACACCCTCCCTCATCGTACCCCCTCGCCGCCAACTCCTCACGCATCGCATGCCGCACACGGCGCCGCGCCCACGCCCGCACACAGCTCGATTTATTCAGATCCGCCCCCGTCGTCACGTGCCACCAGAGTCCGCGGCGCGGCCGCGAGGCTTGCCGGCGTCGCTGCGTTTCGTGCAGTGGGTGTGACGGGTCGGATAGCACGTGGTTGGTGATGAGGCTTTGGTAGGTGGGTGAGAAGGTTGGTTTGATGGTTGTGAGGAGAGTGGGGTGAGGGAGGCGGAGGGGGGGCTTCATTTTTTCTTTTGTTGTTGTTGTTTGGATTGGGCTGGTTGGCTGGCTGGCTGGCTGTTTCTTGTCTTCTTTCGAGTATCGTATTTTCTGATTCTTCTCTTTTTGGCGTGCTTCTTTCTTTTTTTTGGGGGGGGGGGGGGTGGTTGCTAATATTCCTTTCTTTTTCCCGCGTTCGATTTATCTTTTTTGCCGTCTGGATATTCCCTTATCCTTTTGCTTTTTGAAACTTCTTCTTGTTTTTTTTGGGGGGGGGGGGCTGATGGGGAAGATGCATAAACTGTGTTTTGATGGCAATGTTTCTCGCTTTCCGGTCACGTTCGATTGTGAACACACAAGTACATGTTGTTATGCACGGTGACGTTGTTGCATTAGCGGCGGGGAGGAGAGAAAATGGGGAGTCCCAGTCAGGCCAGTTCAGTTAGTCACAAGGAAAAAATGGGCGAGGTTCTACCTCTCTCACTCACCCTCTCTCGAGTGAGCGCCCAACGCTAGTCTCAATGCAGGCCTAGTGTAAGGCATTTTTAGCGCACAGTTTGGTGTGTGTCAGGGCTGCAGTTGTGCCTTGCCCACAGACAGAGATTAGAAAGGCGCTGGTGGTGGTGACACAAACAACCCCGGGTCCCGCCACTAATCGCCCATTACCCTACATAAGAACTTGGGCGGCTCCCCCTGCCCTTTCTTGCCTCGAAAGCTCTCCCACACCACCACCTCCCCACACTTTTCTTTTACTTGCACACACACAAACAAATAAGGCCGACGCTTCGACAACTGCCAGCATGCCGAAGAACAAGGGAAAGGTATGTGGCTGTTTTTCCGTTCGCTACTGCTGCCACCGCTGCTTTGGAGGGGCAAAAAAAGGGCCTGACTCCCCGCTACGCACACACACAAAGGGCCACGACGCAGCTGGACGTGAACAAACACACGCCAGCGCCCATTTATCCACACCTCATTGCAGCCATGCAGTCCAGATTGCGCCCCTCCATCCCCAAGCGCTAGCCCATCTCCCTTTTTGTCGCAATCCAACCTGCTAACGCTCGCTCTCACTAGGGTGGTAAAAACCGACGTAGGGGCAAGAACGAAAACGACAATGAAAAGCGCGAACTCGTCTTCAAGGAGGAAGGCCAGGAATACGCCCAAGTAGTCAAGATGCTTGGAAACGGGCGTCTGGAAGCCCAGTGCTTCGACGGCGCCCGCCGCCTCGCTCACATCCGCGGCAAACTCAGGAAGAAGGTCTGGATCAACCAGGGCGATATCATTCTGCTGTCGCTGCGCGACTACCAGGACGAGAAGGGCGATGTTATTATGAAGTACTCTGGTACGTTATTTCCCTCTTTGGAGACTGCCAAGGAGATGGATGTAAAGTATTGCTGAGCTGACGACTGCGACACAGCCGACGAAGCCCGCTCATTAAAAGCCTACGGCGAACTCCCTGAAAACGCAAAGATCAACGAGACGGATACCTACGGCGACCAGGGCGACGAGGGCATCGGCTTCGAGTTCGACGAGGACCGCGACGACAGCGACTCGGATGAGGCTGAGGGTGGCAAGAAGGAGATTGACATTGACGACATCTAGACAAGTGGAAGAGAGAGGTTGGAGAGGAAAGAGGTCCGCCATGCTGTCTCGACTCTTTTTTTTTGCTTTTCCGCTTTTTGCCACGGCTGCTTTTTGCCATTTTTTTTATTTGCGGGTAGCAAAACGAGTCGGGCTGCTCAAATGCTGCTTCTTGCGAGCGGGCGGATGTGGGGTTGCTTTATATAATTGACTGCAGTAATGAAGGATTCCCGGATTTCTTCTTTCACACATGGTTCTTCTACGGCTCACCTTTGACAACTCCCATTTCTATTTACCATTTCCCGCTCAGAAGCACCGGCCGGCTTATACAACAAGCCATGTAGAAGCATCAACAACACTAACTAAACACCTGCAGCTGCACATCCTCATACACACTGCGATTCAAAAAACGATGCACCCTCCTCCCCACATCCGTCCCCACCAACCAGCAAATCTCCCTTTCAGTCATATTCGCCACCTCAGCAATGTTCTCGCTCTTAAGCATCAGCGTGGTCACCGCATTCTCATTGATGCCCGGCAGCGCCCTTAGCATATCCTGGCTCGTCTGGTTAAAACTGCGCATCTCATCTCCACTGAGACTGGGATCAAGACCGAGCTGCACAGCACGCAGGGGATCAGGCTCGTCATGTTGTTTTTTCAGCTCGGCGAAGATCTCAGCCGTCTGGTAGGGAGACGAAGACCAAATGATGCGGAGACGGGGGAACGCCAGGGTCAGCATGACGAGTTTGGCCTGGAGATCCGGGGCAGCAGCCGACGCGGCGAGGGGCGTGTTAGCGGTATTTGAGGCAGGGGCGGAGAAGTCTGTAAAGGGCTCGAGGGTAAAAGACTTGTTTTGGTCGAATTCAATGAGCAGCATGGGGTGCTTGTAGTGTTCCATCATGGCGTCGACCTGGTTGAAGAGGCGGCCGTTGGCAAAGGATTGGATCAGGTCGCGGATGGATTTGCGCTCGACGCAGATTTGCGGCGTGAGCACGTAGTCGCCGACGGTGAGCATGCAGGGGACAATGACCATGGAGCGGGCGTGGAGGAGCGAGGGGAGCGACGAGCGGAATTCTCGCACGTCGACGACTACGCGGGGGGGCTTTGTCGTGGCGGCGAGCCGGCCTCCGCCTGCTATTCGCGTGTTGATTGTGCGCAAGAAGGCTTCTTCGGGCGCGAGATTGGCCGTGGGGTTTTGGGTAAAGGCCATGTTTGCGCGCTCCTTGATCAGCCGGGTGAAGGCGTCTTTTTCACGCCGCACGGCAGAGAGATAGCGCTGCTCTTCGACGCTGCCGCCGTAGTACATGAAGAACACCTTGACTGTGCGGTCCGTGTGGGAAGACCGATACACTTCGATACGCCGGATAAAGGCAGCGTCTGGCTCGTACATGATGACGTATCTTGGTTTTGTTTCGTCGAGAATGTGCTCGTCTAGATCACCAGAGTAGGGATGGACAATGATCAGCGAGTTCATGTCAAAGAGCTCGTAGTAATCTTCCATGTTGTCAAGAGGGTCGAAACCCACTTCGCCTGGCTTTTGCGCTGCTTCAATCTCCGTGGGTTCCAGTTCAGCCATGAGACTTGCAATATGAGAATCGCGGTCTCCTGCTACACGGCCTGCGCCTGTGTCACTTCTGGAAGGACCGGCCGCTGCGTTGCCTCCGCCTCTTACGCGGCGTCGCTTGTTAGGTGGAGGCTTACCAGCAGTTTGGTGCATGCCGCTTTGAACGTTCCTGTCGGTAGTCGTGTTGATCGCTTTCTGGTTTTCCGAGAACAAAGCAGCGCTGACTTTGCTAAAGTCGCGCTTCCAGGCAAGGTAGTTGCGCAGCTTGCGTCGCATCATGAAGTTTGCCGACGGCTCATACTCGTCTTCGCCTTCGTCTTCATCACCCTCTGGCTTGACATACATGGTTTGCAGGTACTCCCTCAACTGCGAAGCTGTACCCTGGTCGCCACACATTATGAGTATGGATCCGTTCGAAGAGTCCTGCGGCGTGGGATTCAAGTATGCGTCTTGCTCAATCTCCTGCAAGATTTCTGCTAGCTGCGTCCACTTTGGGAATTCTTCTAGAACAGGCTGTAATGATTCAGGTACAGTATTTGAAGAGTTGGCTAGTTCAGCGTTGGACACCTTGCCCATATACACCCTGCGCTTAGCCGTTGTAAATATTGTATCAGCAGCATCCAGAAACAGCCATGGTGACTGGTTTTGCTTTGTTGAACCCGGCGGTGGCTGAGAAGCGGCCAGTACGGTGTCGAGATACTTGTTAAAGTTGACAGCGTCATAGGTAAGGAGTGCGTGGAGAATAGTCCGCAAGAGCGACAAGTCTCGAACAACCTGTCGCGTCTTGAACGTAGTTCGATGCCAAACCGGGTCTAGCTGCCGTCGAATGATCTGGTCAAAATTCTTGTGTAGTGCACTATCCACTGTCCAGTCTTCGACCTCCAAGCCAGGATTGGCCTTTTTGAGCTCGCTGATGCTTGCTTCCACACACGCCAAGACGGCGTTCTGTATATCCTGCATCGCTTCCGTCATGGGCACTTCCAACTCAATGACTTCGGCTTTCTTCTTTCCTTCGAGCGATTTCGCAACAGTGACGTGGAACCGCGGGTACAGCGCTGGTTTGGTCAGGAACAGGTTCTTCATCATGTTGGTGAGCGGAGAGAATCCGGTGGTGAAGGGTTCTGGTGTGTCGGAGAAGGCTTTCAAGAAGCCCACCTTGTTCTTCTGACGGTATATCCTTAGAATGAAGGCTTCCAAGGATGTTGCCACGACCCTTTCAGCATGCAAGACAACCACACCCGTCACCGTCTCTGGATTAAGCAGCCCGGACAGGAAGTCGACAATCAGGATGCGCGACGTGATACTAAATATTCCTCCCTGCGCATACATCTTCTCGCGAGTGCCGACACTCATTAGATCCGTATTGACCAGACTCAGACCGCGACATTTAGGCGCATTGCTCACGGCTGCATGCTCGGCCAGTGCCTCACCAATCCACACATTCTCGCGGTCGTCGGCCCCGACGAGCAGTATGAGATTGTTTCCAGCGGCATCGTACGAGTGGAGGAGATTGGTGACTATGCGCAAAAGGCCGAGGCCGCGGGCGAGGAGAACGAGCTCATCTTCCCCGCGCAGCTCATTGAAGATGTCTTGCTGGAACTCCTATGATGTCATGAATGTGAGTTGGTGGACATGGGCATAGAGGTGAAGATGCGGACATACCAGAGGCAAGGAGAGCTTCACGGGGGCTTGCGCATCGCTGGGCATTGGGTACTGCTTCGACTGTCGTGGTGGGGACCGAATAGGTGTTGGGTCGGCGATGCGCGTTGGAGGTTCGCGCGGGCCCCACGCCAGATCACGTGAGTGCGACATCACCTGCTCACCATACAAGTCATACTCGGCAACACGGCACCACCTTGCAGCTGCACAGACTACAGGCAGCTGAGCCAAGATGTATAGATTCGTTGCCAGGCCGGCAAATCGGGGCCCAGCATCCTACTGACACGCGGCCTCAAAGGCAGATTCATGATACATTAAAAATACAAGGGCCAAGCAGAAAATCATGTGTTACTCGGCACTTGACCGGATCTCTGCCTGTCGTCTCCTGCTCTCAGCAGCGTAGGCGTCACGCTCGTCTCTGCGTAGTTGCTGCTCCCTCTCTGACCTCTTGGCATCCAGTTCCTTTTGTGCCGTCCAGACTATCTTGGTCAGCACGATGGTCAGACACTGCTATTTGGGGAAGAACATACTGGGCTTGTCTGACCGCGAGGCCTCCTTGAGTTGGGTGACGAATGCGTCAAAGTCCTTTTGCCGTTGCTCTCTTCCCGCGAGGGCCTTTTTCTGGAGTTCAGGGCTGTACCTCTGCACGACAGGTGAGCACGCTGCCGGGCGCATGTACTTGGCAAGGTGGATATACCTGGAAGAGTTCTTCCTCTGTCGGCGTGACGTACCAGACGAGGGCCGGCCCACCTATGCAGAGAAAGGCGCCTCTGCTGAACAATTAGAGACGTGATGCTTGAGACATGGACCAGCGGCCTTCAATGCACGTACGCTGAGATGGCCTTGACGTAGGTCTGGGCGGATGGCATGATTGTGTCGTTGAGCAGCTGACTCGGTGCTGAACAGGGCCCGATGTCTGGTTGATGGTGGCTGTGGCAGAGGTGGGCAGCCTGAAAGTGGTGAGGTCGACCATGTGCATGTGCCGCGCCACTGGGCAAAGAAGCTAGCGGCTAGCGGCTCGCGGCCAGCCACAGCAGTGGCAGCGGCCTGCGCCACGTCGGCAGGTCACGTGGACGGGCAGCTGCAGACGCGGCGAACAGCTTTTCCGGAAGCCCCAGATGTGGATGTGCGCATGCGCATGCATGCCAGTGCCAGTCAATGTCAGTACCGCGATCAGCAGGGCAAGGGCAGCCGGTGCCGGTGCCTGCATAATCTGTATGATCTTCACCTGCTCTGCTACTCGCTTCGCACGCCGAGCGTCTCCTGCTCTCCTTGCCTCTTTCACCGCCCGCCGCTGAAACCCTTTTCCACCCATCTCGAGCCACCCCAGCAGCTGATGATTGCATGCAACCTCACCATGATGGCCATGGCCATGGCCATGGCCATGCCCGCGCCGCTGTCGCTGTCGCTGTCGCTGTGGATGCTCATCTAATCATACCCCGGCTGCTGCTCGTTAGCGGTAGTGATTCGTCTCTCTCCCCACGACCCCGGTCGCTTAATGAAGCGTTTCAGTGCCCCGGGCAAGCTGCAACGGCACGCTTCTTTTTCCTTTATTTCATCAATGCAAGGTTGCGCAGATGCTCCAAGGGCTCGCTGGGCAATCTTGGGTTGAAACATGGGATTCCATTTATTGGATCTGACCCCGTGTTTGAGGACCGCTGTCGCCGCCGCTACCGCAATCCCCCATTGGTGTCGACACATGCGACCATCTGTAATCCAAGCCGCTCCTGTCAACGCCTCTCATCCAACTTTTTGCCTCCTGCTGTCGTCTTCTAGACGTGCCTGTTTCCGGTGGTTGCACAACCCCTCTTTAATTTCGAGCCACCCTTGCCAGGTACCCAAATATACCCACGGATACCCACGTTCGCTAGCAACGTACGCGACAAACAGGCCGAACGAGGTCCGGCCCTCGAAAGCGCGCACAACACGCGCACTTAAGACCTGCACACCCCGCTTGTCGCACACAGCATTACCTAACCTTATAGCCCCTTGACATCCATAGACAGTGTTGGCTTGTCCTTTCCCCACCAACATCGTCGGAATGGCCTACCAGCAGCAGTACGGCAACTATCCGCAAGCACAACAACAACAACAACAACAACAACAACACTATGACCAGGGAAGGCCGCAACAAAGACCGCATCAGCAGCAGGGCTATGACAATCATTATGGCCAGCAATATGACCACCAGTACGACCACCAGTACGACCAGCAATACTACGACTACGGCTACGACCAGGGCGGCAATGAGCATTGGGACAATGGCCACTATGACCAGGGCGGATGGGGGAATGCGCAGCAACAGGGTGGCTACCAAGATATGAATGGGTACTCAAGGCAGGCCCCGCCGAATCAAGGCCGTCGCCCGCCCCCGCAAGACCAATACTACCAAGAAGACGCATATAATGACCCGTACTACCAAGAGTCACCTCCCCAGAAACAGGGAAGAGGACCGCCCCCCCAACAGCGACAAGATCCTCGAAATCGACCCGCAGGTAGGGGAAATGGGCCTCCGCTAGGCCAACAGCAAGGGCGGGGGGGACTAAGACCACCAGGTACGTTGTTGCTGTCCTTGCACAAACAATCAAGTCCACCTAGTCATGATGGAATGGCATGCTAACCTCCATACTCAGGCCTAGACCGATCTCTGCTGAATCCTCCAGCACCAAAGAGTCTGCCTCAAGACAATCCTTTCCCAACCTTCCCTTCGCAGAAGCCTAAACCCAAGCCGGCGGGCGCAAACCCCCCAATCGAGCAGGGCATGGCGCAAATGAACATCAATGACCACGGGGGACAGGCGGGGCCTAGGGGACCGCCAGGCCGGGGGCAGCCCATGCTACAGAGACCGCCGCCGAACAATCGGCAGGATTCAGGGCATTTTGAAGATCAGAATCAGCGACATCCTCGGAACCAAATGCCTCCAGGCCAACGACCGCCGCCTATGAACGTGGATAATGGTCGAGGACCGCCTCCGCATCAGACAAACAATCCAGCATCTCCTCCGGGGCGAGCCTTTGGTCCAAACACGCAGCGTTCTGCGACCATGCCTCACAACGTACCGAATGGTAACAGAGCTGGCGGGTACAATGGTCAGCAGGAGTTTGCTGAGCCTGGTGCTGGGGCAGGCAATTATGGCCCTACATCGCCGACCTACATGCCGCCCAGACCTAGTACTGCCGGGGGGCCAAGATCGAATGGGCCCTCGATGCAGCAAGGACAAAGGCCTCCAATGCCGCAAGCACCCGCGCAGCAACAGCCGCATCAAGTGCAAGCTGAGGACCCGTCAGGACTAGACAATTTGTACGATGAGTATTATAATCACGACGAACGCCGCAAGAGCGAGGTATCTGCTCTTGACATGCCTAATTTCGATGCCATACCGGAGACCAACAACAAGCATCGACGAGGCGATTCGATTGACGGTCATCTGAACTCCAATGCGCCCCAAGGTTATCCGCCGGGCGCTCCCGCAAATCCGAGGGCTGGGCCAAACGGAAACGCCCAGGGTCAAATGATGCGGAGCCGGTCGCAGCCTGATCTCAATGATCAATATGCGAACAGTGCCTACGAGACAGCTGCAGATGCACCTCCTATGCCAGGTCTACCAAGAGCAAACACTGCGTTTGCAGGACCTCCTGGTCCACCAAACGGTGGTCGAGGTCGAGGACCACCTCCTAGAGGGATGACAACGGACGGTTTGCCACGTGGACCGCTCCCTCAGGGCCATATGCAGGGACAGCCGCAGAACTTTGATCCCAGGTACGGGCGTCCCCAACCAGGTGTCCAAAGGATGTACTCGGACGAGTCGACCTATTCAGAGCCGCCACCAAACACAAGAAATTACTCATCACCAGCACCAGCTGGTAATCTAATACCTCGACCGGGAACAGCAGCACCTGCTCCAGGCCGTAATCCTAATGATCCACTAGGCAGGAGGCCTGGTACCACTCAGCCGCCATCGAACCCAGACGCACTACCAGCGCATCCAATGCCCGTGCGACCCGGGTTGATGCAACAAGGCGCACCACAACAGTTTTCCCAGCCGTCGGCACCTCAGAATGCAAGACCGCCACCAGTTCGACAATACAACAGTGAGCCAGGACGCCCAAGTTACGATAACCAAAATGCACCTGCGAAACGTAATAGTGCACAGGAGCCAGTGCCGCATCCGGTAACGCACGATGAGCTGAATAGGCTGCGGAATGCCTGGAAGAAGTCGGACTCTTCTGATATTGCTACTGGCCTCAGGCTAGCAAAGAAGCTGGTCGAAGCGTCGAGCGTACTCGCTGACGAAGGAGGCACGGCCGATGCTCGGACAAAGAGCAAGAATCGCGAGAAGTTCATGCACGAAGCTTACAAGGTTGTTAAGAAATTGGTCAACATGGGGTCTCCGGATGCCATGTTCTATCTTGCTGACTGCTACGGGCAAGGGATTCTTGGTTTGCAGGTGGACACGAAGGAAGCATTTACTCTTTACCAGTCAGCTGCTAAAGCCGGACATGCTGCAAGTGCATACCGAACAGCCGTCTGCTGTGAGATGGGCCATGAGGAAGGTGGAGGTACAAAGAAGGATCTGGTCAAAGCAGTGCAGTGGTACCAGCGTGCCGCAGCATTGGGCGATACACCTGCAATGTACAAGATGGGCATGATCCTCCTCAAGGGACATTTGGGTCAGCAGAAGAATTTCGGCGAGGCCATCAACATGCTCAAGCGCGCTGCCGACCACGCCGATCGAGACAACCCTCACGCACTTCACGAGCTAGCACTCATATATGAGTCGCAAACCGGCGCCGAACGCGTGACGCGTGACGAAGCATACGCAGTCCAACTCTTCCACAAAGCCGCCGAACTCGGCTACAAGTTTTCTCAATTCCGCCTTGGACAAGCTTATGAGTATGGCCTGTTGGGATGTCCAATTGATGCGCGCACCAGTATTGCCTGGTACACCAAGGCCGCCGCACAGGAAGAGCACCAGAGTGAACTCGCCCTATCAGGTTGGTATCTCACAGGCACATCTGGTATCCTCGAACAAAGCGACACAGAAGCCTATCTCTGGGCGCGCAAAGCCGCATGTGCGGAGCCACCGCTTCCAAAGGCCTTGTTCGCCATGGGTTATTTCACCGAAGTAGGCATCGGTTGCAAATCCAGTCTGGAAGAGGCCAAGCGGTGGTATGGACGAGCTGCTGGTAAGTCTTTTTTAGAACGATAATTTATCAGTTGAATAACAGCAAACTAACTCGAGTGTAGCGTACAAATTCCCCAAAGCCCAAGAACGCCTCGAAGAGCTCAAGCGTGGCGGAAGCAAGGCCCAGATGAAGCGTGAGCGCCTGAGTAGGACGAACCAGAAACAGCAGGAGGAGAATTGCGTGGTCATGTAAAACCTTTTTTTTGTGTTCATCGATGCATCACCTATGCTATGGCCCAATGCCAACAGCTAAAACGTAGTAGAGACAGGTATATGTAACGATGTTACAACTTCGCCAAGTATTGAGCCAATCCCAGAGCCGGATCGGAGGAAGTACCTGCCGCCCTTCATCAGCCATTCGCCCGAGGTCGGATCCGAATTCGGACCCGACTAGGATAGGTATATATTGAGACACTCCCTGTAGCTAGCTCTGTAGACTTTTGATATCCTTTCGTACAAGGCCTATAGGTGGCTTGTTGAATCTAGGCTCTTTGTGATCCCACGCACTCCCATATGCCTCTGAGTGATCCTACGACCGAAACAGATCCGACCTGCCTTACCTGCGCCGTTACATTATATCAAAAGTCTCGTCCCAGCCGGTGACGGCTTCTAAACAATATCGCAGCTGTTTGTTCGAGATCACGTCCAAGCC